ATGTATACTTAGTATTTACTCAATTAGGTCTTTTGAGGGAAAATCGGCCGAGGACAAAATCTTCCAAAGCTCCTTTCCTATACAAACAATTATGGAAACTCATTAATTAAATATTTTTTAAAATAAAATCATATATAACACGTTGTTTGCTAAATACTTGGGCGAAACATTTCTCAGGGGAGGCATTTGCAGGAGGCAGGCTCTCCTGCCTCCTCCGTGCGCACACTTATAATAATATGGTTTTGGTTTACTGCAGGAAAATTTTTTTTTTCTTTTAAATATAATCCTTGGATAATATGTATACTATAATGGTATAAATCGTAAGATTCCGAGATAATGAGTGTCTTACAATAGATTGATCACACCTATCGGTATACCTATCGATATTTATAAATTAATAATTATTCATACCTATAAAGATTAAAAATATTATCTAAAATTATAGTTATCTTTAAGCTATTTTATTGTTGTATAAATTATAATCTCATTATTTTAACTTATAATACATTATTTCCAACCGCGAGTATATTATTAATAAGTTTTAATCACAAAATTTCACTTGTTTTAAATTTATTTTTATTCTTACCTTTTAATGACATAATATTCTGTTTATTTATTTTTTTTAGATGGCCCAACTGGTGTATAATAATTACCCGTCAAAATCGACAAAATCGCATCCTTCAACTCGAATAACGGTCCAACGATATAAACTATAGAAAAAGTACATCCATCAATATTTTTACTGTTTACTAACTTAAGTTTATACATGTTTAACTACACATTGTAGACATAATTTCTTTTCGTCAACGTCAATCTAATATAATTATTATTATACATGGTCAGAGCCAGTGGCGTACTCAAAAGAGTTTTTTCGTTACCTGGACACACTTCTCCATCGGTGTATACGTAATATAAATTTAATAAAATATATTAAACAACTTTTTTATATAATATGTAGAATGTAGATATATGTGACATCCTCCTTCGATTAATTCTGATTGCGCCACTGACCAGAACGCTATCAAAATCTCGACAACAATAAATATTGTATTAATTTTGTATTCACGTAACTATAAAAAAAGTCTACTGACATATTAGCATAGTATTAAAGTTATTATATATTTTTTTTTGGAAAGTTTTGAAAGTATTTTTGAAATTAAACGTATCTACTATAGATATCATGACGCACATATCATATCTATAGACTCAACACTACAAAACCAAGGATACGTTATATTTTTGAAATTAATAATACAGAAAAAAATAACTAAAATTGTACTCAAGTTTTTTTCCCCTTCAACAGTATTAATTTTGTTTATAAAAGCGGTTTAATCTATCATGTCGTATGCAATAGTTGACAGAGCGAGCAAAAGTCTTATTAGGTGATACGTGAGGTGAGGATCTGACCGATTTTGATTTCACAGTGCATGTTGCACTCCGAACTAATATAGTAATTTGATTGACATCAAAATATTAAAAACTACCGTAAACGTACCTGTGCAAGATGTAGATTGTGATAGTACGAATAGAGTAGAAATTCTACTATTAAAATGAAACATTGAAAAAATCGGTAGGGCGTTACAGGGTTGGACTTGGAATAAAGTTCAGTTGATAGTGATGCTTTGTCAACAATATACATACAATATTAAAGTGAAATAATTAAATAGGCTCTATATATTTTCTTTAATAATATTTATTTAATGTTTTACCGTTTTTTCATGTTTTGCCCCAGTTTTGCAGATTTGCTGAGAAAACTCCGAAAAAAATCGAAAAACGACCTGTTTAAAATACCTCTCCAGTGATATTTCTTTTAGAAAAATTGGTATCATTGGAGCAAAATTGCCGGTAGAAAAATTGTCCACAGGTAAAAAAAGCCGTAATATTTTTAACTAATGCCTACATTGTTTACATTTTCCCGTCGTTCCTCCGTTTTTTTTCGGTTTTTTACATTTATTGAGGAAACTTCTTTTTGGTGAAATTTCCTTTTAGAAAAATTGCTATCATTAAAAGTTGGAGCAAAATTGCTAATAGAAAAGTTGTCCACAGAAAAAAAAATAAACATCTTTATAAAACCATAAGCTTCTTTACTCCACTCAGAATCTAAAATAACATTATTACCTATAATACAATCGGTTTTATTCGATAATTTTAAATAAAAAGTATTATTATATATATATGAATGTAACAACTTTTACGTTTACTCAATTATAATCAGCTTGAAATAATTCAAGCAAATTAAATTTTCATCAGCTCAGGAAGGGGGGAGGAGAGTATGCGATTTATCTCTCGTCAGTCCGCTTTTGAAGCGATGTATGAAAATGTAACTGCGCAGAAAACCAAATGATAAAATTCGTAAAATCATGAAAATATTATAAAGCTTACCTATTATGTAAAGGAACAACGATTTGAAAGGTTACAATGGTTCAGACACACGATGTGAAGAAATGAAGCAACGGCCGTGAGGACAGCTTTAGAGTAGGTATTAAACAACTAGAATATCAAAAGAAAAGTCAAGGAAGCGATGAATTGACAAGATTTATTAAGATTTAAGATAAGTGTGAACGAATGGATGGAATCGTTTAGCTAGAGGAATATGGAATATGGATTTTGTGGCAGCCAAAATTTTGAGAGTCGTGAGGCCAAGGAGAAGAAGAAAAATCGAAAATTAAATTAAAAGACATAATTAACAATATATCATTGATGAAGTGAGCAAAAGTCTTAAAAGGTGATACAGCAACAGCTGATCACCTTACTGTACTTAGTATAATAAAAAAAACTAGATTCGACATCTTTTCGGAGCTTTGGTGCGATGATAATGCGTTTTTAAACGATTATACCAAGTGTTGTACGGTAAATTATTTCCTCCGACTTTTAAAAAACATGGAGTCGGAGGATACCATTTTTGTTTATGAACACAGCATGGCCGACGATAATAAAATTTATCTTCCAATCTTCGATTGGTGTCTAATTTTCGTTCGCAATAGTTAGCAAATTCGGTCAAATGACTTTTATCGATTTGATCCCAAATTTGATCTAAAAACAAATAATAATAAAAAATAAAATGTATAAAGAAACAAAAGAAAACTAAATTATAAATATAATAATAATGCTCACAGGTAGGCTAATATTGTAGATAGGTTGTTGAAAAGATAGGATATACAGTAATATACTTTATTTACTGTAGGTAATGACTAACGATCAATCGTTATAAACGAAAAATCACAAAAACGAATTCATTTTCCGTTTTTTTAATAATAACAGGAAAATAAAAAAAAGATCCATCTTTCCACCAACAAAACAAAATTTGCTTTTATAAAAGATGTTACATCACTAAAAATCAGAGCAAGATTTATGATAGAAAAGTTGTTTTTTTAGACGGACAAAAAAACACATACACATCATAGTTAAATCCATACATTCCTCGCTACATTTAGAACCTAAAATACCACACAAAAATATAAAAAAAAAATCCTTATATTTTTCTGATACATAATAATATAGGTTTGACCTAACGATTATTTTGTGTATGGGTTAGTGAATATCTTAAAGTTAATAATATTTTATGAATATTCGGAATAATTTAAAATTTATGTATCGAAGTATTTAGAATATTGTTTTAAATTAATAAGATACTTATCTTATTAATTTAAAGTACCTATATTGTTGATAATTTATCACCATCAACAATGAGTTATTATGGGCTGAAATTAAAAGGAAAACTAATCTTGTATTAACATACTTAATATATAATAGTACATATATAATATATATTATATGTATATAATAATAATAATAATAATATATAATATTATTTTATTTTCATGTTTGTTCGTACATGAAAATAAAAGAGAAAAACAAAACAAATAAAGAGTATTTCGACAACAACAGCTTTTTAATGGAGTATTTACTGTTCTGTTTATGGACGTGAGTGGCATACAGTCAAGGATATTGCTTTGGAAACCTACATCGTAATGTGCACCTTGTCTGTCATCTTCTCAGTTTTTTTAAACATTTTTTTTTTAAATAGGACTTATTTTCGTCGCCTAGTTTTTATTAGATAGGCAACGAAAACTTTTAATTGCAATATCATAATATTATGATAATCTGTAAAGTGAATTTGGTTGCCTAACTAATATGACAACCGCTGTCACTTGATTGGCGTTTGTCACGGATCCTATAGTATAGAATTTCGTTGACCTGTTTGATTTTAACTCCATATTTTATACCTCATACAATAGAAACGTATTTTAATTGTGTTATATTGTAATTATATTATGTAGATATGTCTAAAATACTAAAGAATGTACACGGAATTCTGTCTTGATTTTTTTTTTTTTTAATTTGTTAACACGTTTAATAGTGAGAAATTAAAACTGATAAAGTAAAGGCATAATTACCGACGTCAGAAATACAAACAACCCATTTTTTTCATCACTTTTCAACTAGGGTGAACTTTATTTTATAGATAGTGAAAAAAATTACATCATTTTGGTCGAGCATCCCCTTCCATATTGTTTATCAATACAAGAGAACAATTTTGATGAAATTTAGTAATGATATCTTAACCCCTTCACGTACCGCAAAAATTTAAAATAATCAAAAAGGATAGTTTGACAGTATTTTCGTATAAAAATGAAATACTGTATCAATTACAATAAAAATGTATCAGAGCAAACATAGAACACATAAATATCTATAAAAAATGTCTTTTGACAAAATTATTGATTTTTATTTGACAACGAACGGCAACGCGCTTTTCTGCAGCCAAGTCTCGCAAAAGAAGAAATAATTGTGTTAGACAATATTCGGCCTGTTTTTCAAACCACTCAAAACCAGTTTCAAATGCAGCAGATGATAGTCCTTTTGATGTACTGATACTTTCATTACTTCTGCTATCGTCACTTTCTTAATTTTGCAACAAATAAATGATTTCATCGCTATCTAATATTTGATATTCTATATCATTTACATCAGTTGCTAACCAATCAACATGTGCATAATCAGTCATTAAATCCTGGAATATCATTAAACAAATCAACAAAATCGTTAAGATTATTTAGATCAGTTTCTTCTTCGGCTTCTAATTCCATAGAAGCAACCCACAATTTCTCCCAAGCATTTCGTAAATTTTCTTCAGTAAAATTATCCCAGGTATCTATTGCTATGTAACAGCAGTGTTTCAAATTCAATAATTTTGAAAATGCAACAACACTCTCTTCAGTGCCTTAATTTAATAAAAGTTAAGTTATGTTTTGGTAAATAACTCAATATTTTCTTTTTTAAAGAATACCATAGTTTCATGGTTATATATACCCATTGTCATTATCCTAGGGATTGCGAGTTCAAATCCAGTTTTCAATTTTTGCCCTTTACCTAAACAAGGATAAAACAAATAAATTTGGGTGTACCTAGAAACCAAATAATCGCTGCTCGCTCGGACTGTTTTAATCGCAAATTACCCCTCGATTTGTTGTACAAATTTTTTTATCAGAAATTTTCCGATATATCAAGTGTAGCTTATTTTCTGGAAGGAAATTTTATCTCCATGGTAATTTAAGGAGGTTATGTTTTGTTTTTCCAAGCGGTTTTCATAATGTCTGGGAAAAACCAAGATAAAATGTATGAAATGTAGGTTTAGTAAAAAAATATTATACTTTTTTTTTCATGTATACAACTTTTCTACCAGCAATTTTGCTCCAATTTAAAATTATAGCACTTTTTCTGTAAGGAAATCTGGTTAGGAAGGTAATTTTTCGATTATACTAAATAATTTTCTTATAATCAATGTCTAACTAAATAAATTGTCATAAATCGGATGTCGGCAAATCGAGTGTCAGCAAATTGAGTTGTCGGCATATCAGTACAACATGCAATTTTATAAATCATTATCTATTTTAACAAGCTTAAAAAAAACACTATCTCAATATAATTATTTACAAATGTAAATAATTAACTGATTACAATAAACTTTATGATATATCGTTTTAAGATGGTCAATATTATCCCAAATGAAGAATTTGGTGAATGTAATGAAAGTAATTTTTTGTATATTCTGATAGTTAAATATTAATTAATGCTTTATCGTTTGTAGAATAATCTAGTTTATTAGTAATGTTCATTGTCGATAGCAAATTTAGCCATTTGAAGTTGAACATTAATTTCTGATTCTAAACCAGCAGTATTTATTTTTTGTGAATTTAAACTAATCTATGAATTCAGTCAGTTTTCAACATGTGTAATTCGATTAATTCGAATATATACGAGATAAAGGTGTTGGATGAATATTGGGGATTCCGTAAAGTTGTATATGATGATGAAAACATTATAATGGCATAGATACCTGCAACAACTTCCGGACCATTTGGATGATCGATAATTTCTGCTTGTCTCTGAACTCGTGCTGAAAATATAAATTTAATATATATTTTAAAAATAATACATCATTTTGAATTGTAAGTATTTATGCGGTAAACACATTTATGATAGCTGAGACCTACACTTGACGATAGCTAACTGCAGTGCTAAATAAATTAGAACAAATCGGTAAATAAAACACATTAACACATTTGGTATTATTTAAAGAAATATAAACAATTGTGTATTGGGTCATATTATTACAATTAAAATTGAGTAGATACAAAAACTCTTGAACTAAATAATAATAAATAACTAAATAATTAACTAAATAATTTGCAATGTTGTCATAACAACTTGAACAATACTATAATATATGAATGAATTTTGTTTGTTGTTCTAACTTAAAAAATATAAATTTATTAACGTTGTGAATACAATGAAATCCCCCCCTCCCATTTACTATACTATGACACCGCACCACACATTTTTACTAAAACTAACACTGTAGGTTATAAAAATTATCCTAGGATAATTGGGACGGATACAGCCATAAATTATAGACTCACAAGTTTGTCGAAAATATAGTTTTTATATTAAAATTAAAATAATATCTTCCAAGTGTAGTATCATCTTTTAATTGGCCACTTTTTATTTTCAAATTATTTTGTTTCTATTTAACTAAAATATGTTATAAAAAATTGTATAGAAATTATTTGTGTTACAATGAATTAGGTATGATATTGTAATATTTTAATGTCATAAATATTATTACCTATAAGCTACTTTTGCAATAGGTTTAACAATATCAATAATAATTTGAAAACAACAAATACACATTTGTATTTATTTTAATTTAGGTGCCAACGGTACATTTCTATATACGTATAATAATAAATCAGATCTAAATATATTTTTTAATAAACTAATAAAATAGCTACTTTGAATAATAATAATAATCTTTTGTTTAGTAGCATATATTAGAAACATATAAATAGTATAGCATAAATACTTTCTAAATCAATAACCAAGTTTTTTTTGGTAACATTTCATTATACAAAAACCGAAAGAAAAAAACGGGAAAATTTAAGAAATATAGGTATTAGCTAAAAATATTATGAACATTTTTTTCCCGTGGACAACATTTCTACCAGGAATTTTGATTCAATTTTTAGTGATTTCTAATATAAATCGTTTTATATTACATTTATTTTTTTTGTTAAATACATAATATTATATGTATTATTCTCATATTTCTACATTTGTATAAAATTATATTTTGTTTTAAATTTCAGAATGGAAGAGTTACCTTTCCCCTATAGAGATACTGAATGTGTTAGTAGTACTACAGTCGGCGATCCAGAAGTACAATACTTCATGGAAGAAATTGTTAAAAAAAAAAAGTAGTAGGCAATCAAGTCTATTATTTTGTAAAATGGGAATATTTTGATAATGATGATGATAACACTTGGGAGATGAGAGAAAATCGCAATTGTATTGATTTAATAACTAAATTTAAAGAAAATTCGAAACTCCAGGAACAACTAAAGTGTGGACGTATACGTACTTTGTCTAATGGCTCACTATCAAATTCTGATACTAATTTAAACAAAAACGCTCAACCGAAAAAGTTTCTTTTGGTAAAATATGAAAACAATGAAACTTACCTCATTCCAACTAAAATACTTAATACTCTTCCCACAAATTTTGATAAGGTATTATGAATCAATGTACAACTTTATTCCCTCCCGAACTCAGAGATAGAATGTATTTTGAGAGTATACAACTATGTTTAACTTTTGTGAATAAATTATAACTATTTTACATCAAATGTTACACTATGAAACAACAAAATATGTTAGTTAATTAGAAATTAGAAATTAAAATTGTTCTACTTAAAAGTTCTTTAACATTAGTAAACATAATGGGAATAATTTATAAAAATTAGTTTTTGACATTTAACTTTTTAATTGAGATATTTTACAGTATTAATTTCTTCTTATAGGTAACAGCATTGACTATATATCTAAATTATGCTACTTATAGATTGTAGCTGCTATTTAGAACAAATGCATGGGAATTCATGAAATTGACCAGCACTGTATGCCAAGTTTGGTAGCTAAATATTAATATTTTTTTAATCTACTTGTTTATTGTAGAATTGTCTAATCAGTGATATCAGTAAACATACAAAACGGAAATAGTATAGTTTGGTTAGATTGTATTGATTTGTATTTAAACATTCTTATTGTTTATAATTTATATGTTTTTAAGTGTTAAACTAATTGTTATGATTCTTCCATTCAGATAGGTTATTTAGTTTGTTATTATTATTTCACTACCTAGTAAATTATTTATTCATATTGGAAATAAAAATTAAACTTAAAATTACATTAATGTATAGAAAAAAAAAACATTTATTATGGGTTTTACATTAGGCCTCAAATCATTATTTTCTGTAGCCAAATTATTAATTCAAGAAAATCAAATGTTTATATATAATAGGTATATTTAAACATATAATTTTTCCCCAAAACCTTAATAAGATATTAAATAAATATTATTAAAGAAAATATAAAGTCTATTTAATTATTTTACCATAAAATGACATTTGTATTATTGATAAAGCATCACTATCAACTGAGCTCCTCTCAGAATCGTTTCTTCCTAAGCAATATTTTATTGGTGCTTACAGGTATACATTAAATTATCTATAATAGTGACTGCAATCATCCCCATTATTCTAGGACGTCTTTTGTAAAATATTTTTTCATTTACTAGATTTGTGTGTTTTAAATTAATGGTTGTGTATCCAAAAGTAAATTCTAAAACAAATTACTTTATTTTTAATTGTAGACTTCTAACTTTTGGTGTTAGTAATTATACATTAAGAGCAAAACTTGATAACAAGAAGATATAGTTAGACTGACTCAAGACAAAAATACAATCAAAAAAACAAAAACAAGGTCCATATCAAAGCATATCTGCTCACGAAATAGGGCTTGAGGGAAATTCAATTCATGAAATCTCTAATTTCAAATTTATTCTGATTCTAGATCAAGATGCAAATATTAAAGTTTAAAATTAAAAAAAAATTAAAATATGTTCAAAATGCACTATTGAATATTATGCTAATAAAGAGAAAACTACTTTCTGGAATTTCATACTATCTAAATCAGTAATTCCCTATCTCGGATTATAACCCAAATTAAAGTCATGGAGGTTTTTATGGTTGGTCGTAGAACTATATTTCATATATAATTTTACATTTTTCATCAAAGTGAGTTTTAAAAGAATTAATACAAATTACTTAAAATTGTTTTCTTTCAAAAATACTTGCAAAAAATTACGTTTTGAACCACAAATAGTAGAACTCAGTAAATTATTTAGGTAATAAATCCATTTGAAGTTTCTATTTAAGAGGATAGTGGGATATGTATAGTTTTCAAAAAGAACATCTCGATTTTTAAGCTAGTTAAGTTTTAACAGAAAATATTTCTCAAAATATCTAATTCAATTTTGGGCACAGCTCAAAGACAAACTTTTTGGTATATATTTTGTATTGAATAACTCGAGGAAAATAATTTGCATCAAGGGAGCACTAAAATATTAACTTTTAATAGTAGGTACCTAAATTAATTTGTAAAATATTGTAACAATTCAGTAGTTAAAACAATCAAATTATTAAATACAAATTATGATTTCAATAAATACGAGCATTAATATTATTTTTTCGTCAGGCTAATAAAATGTTGGGAACTTGCTAACTTACTGACTTGTTACAACATTATACAAATTAATTTAGGTACATACGAATTAAAACTTAATATTTTAATGCTTCCTTGATGCAAAACACATTCCTCGATCCTTCAATACTAAGATGAATATTATGAAAGTGCACACCACATATCTATGTTGAGGATTAATGAGATTTCTGTATTCTGACTTAATAGCAGCTTATACAGAAAACCTAGTTTCACAAAGATATGCTGTTTGTGTAGTAGTAAATAGTTTTCAAATTCTTTTGACAAAATAGGTTTATCTTTGAACTATGAACAAAATTGAATTAGATATTTTGAGAAATATTTTCATTTAAAACTTAATTAGCTGAAAAATCGAGATTTTCTTTTTGAAAAACAGACATATATCACCATCATCTTAAATAGAAACTTCAAATGGATTTTTTACACAAATCATTTACTGAGTTCTACTTTTTATGATTCAAAATGTAATTTATTTCACGTATTCTCGAAGAAGGAATTTTAAGTAAATTAATTAAATTTTTATTAAATTGTTTAAAATTCAATTTGACGAAAAAATATTAAGTTATGTGTAAAACATACATCTGCAACCCACCAAAAGAACCTCCGGAACATTCATTTGGGTCCGACCCGAGATAAGGAATCATTGATTTAGATAGTATGAAATTCCAAAAATTAGTTTCTCTTCTTATACGTATAAAATTCACTAAAACATTTTGTATTTATGTGTTTTGTATTTCATATTATGAAACTAATAACTATATAATACAAACGACTTTAAATTCAATAACACTATTATGATGCAAACAAATTTATACAATTAACAAATTAATTGAAGATAATGTTTAAATAGTTAATCCAGACATTTTAAACAGATTTTAGAACTTAATTTTACAATTAAAATCGAATAACTAAACAGTATATAATGCCAAAATAAACGTACTTTATTATATTATAACAAAGCATGTAGTAAAAAAAGGTATCCGCTCATATCGACTGTAATAATTATTTTGAATCCTAATATAATCATTACACTCATATTAGAAACTTTTAGACCTCAAATTGTCAACTTCCTTTCTATAAATTGTGATAAGTAGTGTTCAGATGTTTATGCACTTAAAATAACTGTAATATTTATGCGTTTATGCACTAAAAAATTATTAAATATACAATCAAAATATGCATTTTTAGTTTAAAAACACCAAAATATGCAAAGTAAAAATAGTATTATTTTATATAGTTGAACTTTGATCAAATTGTATTCAGGTCAGCATTTAATTGGATAAACAGAAAAAAATTTGCAATTTCATAAACATTCGAACCCTAATATACTTATTACTAATAAGTATATTCTTAAATAGGTATTTACAAAAGATGACGCGCATATACTGGCTAGCCGCTTTTATCGCTAATCCTATGAATTCGATAGGTTCACAAATGAAAATACACTAATTTCGGCTAAACGATCAGGATCACAAATATATAAGCATGGAAACATCTGTAGTCCATTAATCTATTACAATGGTATACCTAGGTACAAACTACGAATGCGAACCACTATTATAAACGTTGTGATCTTTTTGTCACCCCTATTTTTGGCGGTGAAACGACTACCTATTTGATTTTCAAACGGCAATCTGTATGGAAAACGACAGTGTTTGGAAAAATGAATGTTGGTGTTGTCATTTTTGTTTTTTGTCAATCCATTGATGAGATATTAAACTTTTAAGTTTGAGTCAGGGGGAAAGAAGTGGAAAAAAATTTTAATTGCTCAGTTAATTACATCGGAAGTTAATGTAAAAATGCAAAATTATGAAACCAATAATATTATTAACAATGAAATATACAATTTATATATTGTAGTAAACAAAATACGGGGGGGGGGGGTCAGCCTAATTATATAAAATTGATTCACACGTATAAGTTGATTATAAATTGGATTACCTTTCTCCTTCAGGCGGCAAATGATCTGTTGAATCTGATAAAGGTGACCGAAATAAATAAAAAGATTTTAATGTAACAACGGTTTTTTTTTATTCATTTTTTAAATATAAAACACTGTTCTAGGTTCCCGTGCTTTTGTAAGAATCGCTGCGTAGTCTTTACACTCGCTTGTGATCATCTGTCCAAAAGCAACGGGAACAATACGCGCTCTGGGTGAGATTAGAAGTGGCCGGCCTTCTTATAACTGGAGATTTATGTGTGTGTGCGTGTGTAAATGTGTTATCTTAATCTGGTTAATACTAACAACTTAATCTAATACTTAATGGCTATAAATTATTATAATTATTTTACAACATTGATTGTACATTTTATTTTAACTATATATGATAGCTTAAATATCATATCCTTACGATGAGTAGATATCGCATTAAAATATATGTTGTTTGATAAAAAAATATGTAATTGAATGTATATGTTTAATTTTCGTTCCTGTTATTAATTGTTTGATTTATTTCTTACATTATATAATATTTTATTTTACATTATGTATGATAGCTTAAATAGCATATCATTACAATATATAAGCATATTAGTGATATGTCAATGGCCCATTCATTTAATTTAGAAATTTAAATAGACAAGCAGAAAATTTAGTTATTAGCTTACACAAAATAAATTAACCATTCTAATTAACACTTGAAATAAAAATTAATAATAAATTAAATTTCTTAAATTTTACAGTTTCCATGATAAATAATAAATTTGATTTTAGTATTTATAGGAAATCTATACAAACTGATACAATAATACCACATGATTCTAATTAACCTTATTCTCAAAAAATATCATCTTTTAACTTAATATTCCATAGGCTTGAAAATATTTCATTACATAAACATGATTATCAATACTAGCTTAATATTATCTATAATATAGCCTATAGTAATAATTTAAATTTAAATACTATTAAAAAAATCTATAAACGTATTAAAGAAAAGGAAAAATAGAGCAAATAATGTTGTTTATTATTGTAGTATGAAATATCAAAATAATATGATTGAATATTTGCTATAATTGTGCATAATTAAACAAATAATATAAAAATCACTTTTAAGACTAATAATAATTTAATCAAACATACAAACAATAGAACTACAAACTTCACAAAAAATCTCTTTTCTTATGAAAAAGCTGGTACATATAAACTTAAATGTAACTGTCATAAATTGTATATAGGTAAGACAAATTAGAAATTTTAAAATAAGATATAAAAAAACACAGTTCTGAAAAAAATAAAAAGATTGCCACTAATTCAAATTTTGCTAATAATGTTTTAGTAAATCACCATAACATAAGTTTAAATATTAATACAAACATAGAAATAATCAATACCCAAAATAACATTTACATCAATTTTACACAAAGAATTACAAATATACAAAGAAATAAAAAAAACTGATTTTAATAATATTTTAAATATTCAAATCTTTTTTAAAAATAATATCTTATATTAATACATTTTAGATAATACATAATAACCAAATAAATTATATTTTTGAACATATCTATGTCTAATAATGACCAGTTTTAAATATACTCTACTATTAAAAAAAAAATATTTCTATATTGTATCTAAAAATAGCTACCAATACAAATTTTGATAAACATATTTTAGAAAATAATCATAATATAAAATTGACATAAATACAGACTTAAAAATACTAAATACACGAAATGGAATTACATTAATTCAGTTTTAGAAGAATTACACATATACAATAAAATAAAGAAAAATGATTTCAATAACATTTATAATAAAATTAATATTTTTTATAATAATGTTCGAACCCACATTAAAAATAACATATCATAACAAAACATTTAAGATTTTAATTAAGAACCAACAAATATATAATTCTTAAAATATCTATGTCTAAAATTAACTAATTATAAATAATCTCCCATATAAAACAAATTATTTCAAAAATAATGGCTATGTACTATGTAATTAATTGATATACTTAATAAATAATTTTTTTTTGGGAACTAACAAAAGAAATAAATGGAAGCATAGATATCTTCAAGGACATAGAAAATAATGCATAGAAAATATAATACATCATGGATAATTTGTCAATATAATTCTTGTTCAATTAAACAAGAAAAAACGAAAATATAATCAAAACCAAGTGGACAGCAACACGGGAAAGGTGGTATTACATTAGTGCTAAGACAAAAAGGACTTTGTAAAAAATTGACTGTATGTATTTTATTTTTATTAGTACACTGATTATTCTACACTTTTCAAATGATTTCTTTTGTAAACTCACAAAAATGATAAATAGAAACATATATATTTTCAAGGACATAGAAAAAAACGAGTAGAACATTCAATACCCCATAAATAATTTATCAATGAAATTCTTGTTCAATTAAACAAGAAAAATTGAAATTTTTATCAAAACCAATTGCATAGCAAGTCGTAAACATGGACAAGATGACATCACAAAATATCACTTATAGATGTCCTGTGGTAAGTCATAAACATAGACATGGTGGCCTTACGTTCCAGTTCAGACGAAATAAACTTTAAATAAAAAGTAGCTATGTAATCTATGTACACTTCATTAATTATTTTTTTGTGAACTCACAAAAGAGACAAATCAAAACATAGATATTTATGGACATTGAAAAGATTCCTCAGATTGTAAAATATATATATATATATCAATAAAGTGAATAATTAATCAATATAATTATTGATAAACTTTTTTAAAAAAATAGCTATGTATTCCAATTTAATTGGTACAATAATTATGGTACGCACAATTGTTATATGATAATTTTTATGAACATAATAACCGATAAATTGGTACAATGATATTTTCAAAGACTTTGAAAAGAAAGCTTTGGACATGTTCCACATCGATGATAATTTATCATCATAATTCAGTTCCATTGAACAAGTTTAAACAAAAAATATCACCAAAAAATGGCCTGTGGCAAGTCATAAAAGTCATTAGCGAGAAAAATTTAACACTTTTGAATAGAAAGCTTAAATCAACTTCCACATCGGGTATGTATTATCATTATTATTTTGTTCCTATAAAAAGTCAAAACAAAAAATATACCCTATAGATGGCCTGGGCAAATCAAAAACGTAGACATGGTGGCCTTACGTTCCAGTTCAGAGGCAATAAACTTTTTTAAAAAAGTAGCAACGTATTCCAATTTAATTGGTACACTCTTAATAGTACGCACAATTGTTATATGATAAATTTTATGAACTTAAAAACCGATAAATTGGTACAATAATATTTTCAAAGTTTTTGAAAAGAAATCTTTAGACATAATCCACATCGATGATAATTCATCATCATAATTCAGTTCCATTGAACAAGTTTAAACAAAAAATATCACCAAAAAATGGCCTGTGGCAAGTAATAAAAGTCAATGGCGAGACAAATTTAATACTTTTGAGAAAAAAGCATAAAACAATTTCCACATCGTTTATTATTTATCATTATAATTTTGTTCCTTTAAAAAAGGTAAAACAACAAAAATATAACCTATGGATGGCCTGTGGCAAGTCATAAATATAGACAAGGTTGCATTACATTCCAGTTTGGACGCAAAAAAACCTAGAATAAAAGGCAGCTCTGTATTCTAATTTACTGGGTACAATTCATTAATTTTTTTTTTTGTGACCTCACAAAAGAGACAAATCAAAACATAGATATTTATGGACATTGAAAAGATTCCTCAGATTGTAAAATATATATATATATATCAATAAAGTGAATTATTAATCAATATAATTATTGATAAACTTTTTTAAAAAAATAGCTATGTATTCCAATTTAATTGGTACAATAATTATGGTACGCACAATTGTTATATGATAAATTTTATGAACATAATAACGATAAATTGGTACAATGATATTTTCAAAGACTTTGAAAAGAAAGCTTTGGACATGTTCCACATCGATGATAATTTATCATCATAATTCAGTTCCATTGAACAAGTTTAAACAAAAAATATCANTATGGGACGCACAATTGTTATATGATAAATTTTATGTACTTAAAAACCGATAAATTGGTACAATAATATGTTCAAAGTTTTTGAAAAGAAAGCTTTGGACATGTTCCACATCGATGATAATTTATCATCATAATTCAGTTCCATTGAACAAATTTAAACAAAAAATATCACCAAAAAAAGGCCTGTGGCCACTCATAAAAGTCAATAGCGAGAAAAATTTAACACTTTTGAATAGAAAGCTTAAATCAACTTCTACATCGGGTATGTATTATCATTATAATTTTGTTCCTATAAAAAGTCAAAACAAAAAATATACCCTATAGATGGCCTGGGCAAATCATAAACGTAGACATGGTGGCCTTACGTTCCAGTTCAGAGGCAATAAACTTTTTTAAAAAAGTAGCAACGTATTCCAATTTAATTGGTATACTCTTAATAGTACGCACAATTGTTATATGATAAATTTTATGAACTTAAAAACCGATAAATTGGTACAATAATATGTTCAAAGTTTTTGAAAAGAAAGCTTTGGACATGTTCCACATCGATGATAATTTATCATCATAATTCAGTTCCATTGAACAAGTTTAAACAAAAAATATCACCAAAAAATGGCCTGTGGCAAGTCATAAAAGTCATTAGCGAGAAAAATTTAACACTTTTGAATAGAAAGCTTAAATCAACTTCTACATCGGGTATGTATTATCATTATAATTTTGTTCCTATAAAAAGTCAAAACAAAAAATATACCCTATAGATGGCCTGGGCAAATCATAAACGTAGACATGGTGGCCTTACGTTCCAGTTCAGAGGCAATAAACTTTTTTAAAAAAGTAGCAACGTATTCCAATTTAATTGGTACACTCTTAATAGTACGCACAATTGTTATATGATAAATTTTATGAACTTAAAAACCGATAAATTGGTACAATAATATTTTCAAAGTTTTTGAAAAGAAATCTTTAGACATAATCCACATCGATGATAATTCATCATCATAATTCAGTTCCATTGAACAAATTTAAACAAAAAATATCACCAAAAAATAGCCTGTGGCAAGTAATAAAAGTCAACAGCGAGACAAATTTAATACTTTTGAAAAAAAAAGCATAAAACAATTTCCACATCGTTTATTATTTATCATTATAATATTGTTCCTTTAAAAAAGGTAAAACAACAAAAATATAACCTATGGATGGCATGTGGCAAGTCATAAATATAGACAAGGTTGCGTTACATTCCAGTTTGGACGCAAAAAAACCTAGAATAAAAGGCAGCTCTGTATTCTAATTTACTGGGTACAATTCATTAATTTNAAACAAAAAATATACCCTATAGATGGCCTGGGCAAATCATAAACGTAGACATGGTGGCCTTACGTTCCAGTTCAGAGGCAATAAACTTTTTTAAAAAAGTAGCAACGTATTCCAATTTAATTGGTATACTCTTAATAGTACGCACAATTGTTATATGATAAATTTTATGAACTTAAAAACCGATAAATTGGTACAATAATATGTTCAAAGTTTTTGAAAAGAAAGCTTTGGACATGTTCCACATCGATGATAATTTATCATCATAATTCAGTTCCATTGAACAAGTTTAAACAAAAAATATCACCAAAAAATGGCCTGNATTCCAATTTAATTGGTACACTCTTAATAGTACGCACAATTGTTATATGATAAATTTTATGTACTTAAAAACCGATAAATTGGTACAATAATATTTTCAAAGTTTTTGAAAAGAAATCTTTAGACATAATCCACATCGATGATAATTCATCATCATAATTCAGTTCCATTGAACAAGTTTAAACAAAAAATATCACCAAAAAATGGCCTGTGGCAAGTCATAAAAGTCATTAGCGAGAAAAATTTAACACTTTTGAATAGAAAGCTTAAATCAACTTCTACATCGGGTATGTATTATCATTATAATTTTGTTCCTATAAAAAGTCAAANAAGACTTTGAAAAGAAAGCTTTGGACATGTTCCACATCGATGATAATTTATCATCATAATTCAGTTCCATTGAACAAATTTAAACAAAAAATATCACCAAAAAAAGGCCTGTGGCCACTCATAAAAGTCAATAGCGAGAAAAATTTAACACTTTTGAATAGAAAGCTTAAATCAACTTCCACATCGGGTATGTATTATCATTATTATTTTGTTCCTATAAAAAGTCAAAACAAAAAATATACCCTATAGATGGCCTGGGCAAATCATAAACGTAGACATGGTGGCCTAACAATCTGGTTCTGATGTTATAAACTTTGTAAAAATAAGTGGCTATGTACTCTAATTTCATTGGTACACTTCGTAAATTATTTTTTTTGGTACTCACAAGAGACAAATGCAAACATTGATTTTTTCTTGAACATAGAAAATAATTCTTAGAACATATAATTCCTCATGGATTATTTATCAATATAATTCTTGTTGAATAAAACAAAAAAAATCGAAAATATCAACAAAACCAAATGGATAGCATTATGGAAAAGGTGGCATTACAATTGTACGAAGACATAATAGACTTTGTAAAATGAATGGTTATGTATTCTAATTTAATTGGTACACACATTTCTTATATGATTACTTTTGAGAACTTACAAAAGAAATATATGGAAACATTGATATTTTTAAGAACTCTGAAAAGAAAGTTTGTTTCAAACTGGCTATGCTATGATTTAATTTTTGTTTATTTTTTTAGATTATTTTTTCTTATTTTATTCTGGTTAATGTTTTCTATAATTTCTATGTACTAATATGTAGTTATTTAGCTACTTATTGTGAGGTTTTTTAATTTGGCTAGTTTCATTTGTATATACATATTTATAAAATAATAAATGAAATAAACTGAAATCCACTATTGATCTTTAGCAATGATTTATCATTGTTTACAAGTATATTGTATATAGAATTTAATGTATACTTGATACATTAAATTTTTTTTTATATAATTGAACAAATACTAATAAAAATAAATTAGTTAATAGTGTCATAGTTATTCTCTGATATGTATTAGTTTATTTTGATTTTATTTTCATTAATTAATTTGTGAACTTTATGTATTATGAAGTACTGAGAAATTTTTTTTTTTCCCAAAATTTGGGAACACTGGTTTTTCGGAATTTTTAGATTCTTATTTTTTGAGAAGAATTTATCTATGCCCACATAGATACCAACACTGACCTACTTTAATATGTCAATAAAAATAATTAGAAAAATACAGCCTTTTAGGGGGGGGACTTAATACACTACTGCATATTATTGAAATACTTGCACTGAAATTCCGGAGATATATTTTGAACTTTAAATACCAGGTCTGGTTTTTAGATGCACAAAACTCAGCGATTGTTTTTTCCATCTGACTCATCTGAAAACAATCCAGGTATTTTTTTTCCGCTCTGCTACATAGCACAGGTGGTCTTTTGACAGGTCAGCTGTGTCCATATTCCAGTAATCCTGGTTTACTTATCAGGTCCACATAAAAATCCTTAATCTTGATAAAATACAAAGAATCTGAAAAACAATAATAAAATAACAGTTTTTAAAGGATGCCTTACTTGCATGTGCTGTCTTACTCTAATGGTGATATAATTAACCTACTGCAGTATATGTAAAACTCACTTTATTTTTGCTTTAGAGTAAAAGCAACTATAATTAAATTAAAAGAGGACTTTTTTCTGGAAGGCAAGATGATGAGTTATTTTTATTATTCTAGTTATATTATACTATCATTTAAGAATAAAACCTAATTTATCAGTGCTATACTTACATACAGTTTTGTCATAGTCCTGTACTGTGTAGTTATTAGCCTTTCTGTATTGAATACTTGTCTGTACCAGTCAACCACGTGTACCTATAATAACAATTTGATTAATATAATTATATTAAATTATTTGAAAAATTGCATACTTTTTTTAAACATTAGCAACATATCATAGACAGAAAGAAGTTCTAGTTCTATGTATATTTCAACATATAGGCGAAACTGAAACCAGGTTCACAATGTCTCCTATTTCGCTGTTAGTAGTTAATGTTGGATTGATTCAGTTCTGGTGTCCCAATATTACTCTCTTATAATTGTAGTTAAGACAAGTTTGTGCAGCTTGATTGTTTTCAACTGGTGTTGTAAAGACCATATGAACACATTCTCCCAGTAAATCCAAGTCCTCACCAAACAGACAACTCATGTGGTCTTTGAACATCATACAGTTTTTAGGCCCTGGTGTATATAGATAATAGTTAATAATTATGTGTTTAAATTAATGAGGATAATTTTAGTTTTAATATTCATAATTTGTTCATGGGTATATGGTTATTTTAATAATAATACTACTATCATTTAGGAAATTATTTCCACTATTTGTACATTTACTTATTCAATTAATCACATAGATAGGTACTATTTAAATCCATTTCTGTAAGCCATGAACTCTGGAACATTAAGAGGATGAAATACTATTAATAAGCTGTGGTCATAACACCCATTTAACAATGTATTGAACCATATTTAAAAAAAAAAATCTTGACATAATAGATCATTATCCATTTACTTTTTTTTAGTAAATGCAAATAGGAACATTTTACTACCTATTATAATGTAATCTAAAAGTTCAAAAAAAAATTTTAATCTCTGTACTAAGGTGGAATAATAAGGTATAAGCACTTGTCTTCAACAAGTCTTGTCAGTTGATTGAAAACATTACTGCAGTTAAAATTGCCACTAGGTTCACTGTCTACCTGATAATGGACCAGAAATTGTATTATTTGTATGCATTTTAATGGTAATGTGACTAAAATATTAAAATATGGAAGTTTTCTATTAATATTATTCATGAATAATATAATATAGGTACCTAACTGGTATGTGTGTCAATAGGTAACTATTCCTTGAACAATTTGATGTTTATTATTAGGTAGTACTCGTACTTACTTTTTGTAATAGTTAATAATAATACTTTTGAAAGTAATATAGGTAATTGTATTATTGAAATAAATTGTTATTATATTCTCATTTTTTTTTTTTTTGCTTTAGTGTCAAACCAATATATATTTATATAATATTATAATAACATTTATTTAATATTTTTTATAGCTAATACAGGCTGATATTTTCTACAGCCAAAAATCATTCTAAAATTTAAATAAAATTGTATAATGTATTTCATAAATTCATATTCATGATCCGCACAGCCAAATTTAAACCCAATTTCTAAAACTCAGAAATGGAAGACAATTATTTACACTATCTGATACTCTAATGAAACTTTTTTATAACTTAGAAACATAATTTATGTTCTAAATCAATGGTTTTCAACCCAAGGGATCGCAAGTGATAGTTAGGGGGTCGCCAAAAACTATAAGTATCACATTTATACTGTACATTGTATTATTCAAGTACTATTAAACAACTTTTGAAGGGGTCGTCATAAATGAAAAAAAAATTAGGGGGTCATGATTCATAAAAGGTTGAAAACTACTATTCTAAATAATAATCAAATAAATACAAATATTTTAGAACACGGTTAGAACTCAATCAGTTTTAATAATGAATGTTTTTCTATACCTACCTACCATAAATATGTATTATTTTTTCATTTTTAATGTATTGTTATGGATGGAATAATTTTTCAAGACTGGGTTTGGGTCTAAGGTTGGCTTTGTGGATCATGAATATGAACTTACTTAATACATTATACAATTTATTTATTTAAATACTAGAATAATGTTACCTGTAGAAAATAGTATAACCAAGTGTCAGACCAAAAAAAAAAAATTCTAGACTAATAAAATATAATATATATAATTATATTATTAACAAAATTATTATTATTATATCTATTACCAAAAGTAATTACGAATGCTACCTCCTAATAATAATCATAACAAATTATTCGAGCAAAAATTGAATTGTTTAAGCATCTATTGACACATAATAGGTGCCTGTATTATATTATTCATGAATAATATCATAAATAACCACTTAATACTATTATATTATGTATTTATATGTATTAATAAATATAGCATAATTTATCTTTATAGGTGTATCATTTTAAATGCACTTTTACAACAAAACAAAGAGAAAACTTAAATAATTGTAGCCATATTACCATTAAAATACACACAAATAAAAACATTTATGGTCTTTAAATGGGTAGGCAACAAACCTAGTGGGAAATTTAACTGTAGTAATGTTTTCAATCAATTTATCTTAGGCAGGCGGGTGAAAGTGATTATCTTATTAATCCACTTCCACTTTTCTATTTAGGTACCGTTATTTATGTATTGATTATAATAAATATAATAAAAATTACACCCAATATATATTTAGATTAAACAAAAATATTTTATTGTATTTATTATTTGCCATCATCACACATTTATATATTGTAATTGGTATAGCAGTGTTAAACATGTACATAATGATTAACACTTTATCAGTGGATCATCCCCCATACAAATTACGCAAAATTTGGAACTTAGAAAGAATAGCTATTGATTCAAAAAATACATAATATTAATTTAATGAAATTAGTATAGTGTTAATATACCTAATATTGTTTGAGAAAATGATAAACTTATTCATACAATGATTAAATTATTATTACCCAGATAGTGGATTTTCTAAAATTTGGTTTACCTTTAACTATATTCTTCAAACTTCATGACAATATAATTGTAAACACATAAATGACACTTTGAATTCGAGGTTCTAGCAAATGAGGTTCATATAACTTAAACTATTGTGAAGACGATTATTTAAGTTCAAAAAAAAATGTACTTACAAGAGTAGATAACTTTAATTATATCACATACTATAGATCAGAATACGGGAAGCTCTGTAGAACGTAAATTCCGCTAGTAATAAATGATAAGAGAGCCCAGTGGTTCCTAAAATTGAAAAAAGTCATTAGGCACTAAATAGGCATTAAATATATGATAAGAAGCCGAATGAAAGACGGCCAAAGCTTATAGTAGAAAATGAAACAAAATGTCGGTAAAGAAATGCAGATTCAGAATCTGGAATTAAATTTCAGTTAGTCGTCTCACGAAAACGGTATGGTCCTAACCGAGTAGTTAAATAAATATATTATGTTTATTTTATTTTATGTTTTTATGAATATAATACATTTATCATTAACTATACAAATGTGTATAAAAACATAACATGTATAAGATGTAATAGTTATGTAGTAAATAAAATGGGAGAAAATAGTTAATATTGTTTGAGTATCTCATAAGATAGAGGATTTTGAAACAGTAACGTTTGTAATAAAATAAACATTGAAGAAAATAGAGTGAGAGAATTATCCAGTTTTTTTTTCTTTCATATATGTTTTTAAGGCTAGTGATATATATTTTCATTAGCTACATTAGGTACCTAGGTATATTAAATTGTATATATTTTATTTTTTGTTTATATTTATTATATTATATAATATAAATGATTAATATATTGTTTTTTATCATCAACACTCTGATAAGTTTTCTAAAATGTTCGATGTTATACTATACACACATAAATTGAAGTATAAAACTTATTCTGATAATTACTTTTAATAAGTTATTAGTAATCATTCATTTGGGCCAATACTTCTATAATTTCAAATTAGGCTTCTTCATATGAAATAAAAAGACAAGCGTTTAGAAAAAATTATTTATTTTAAATATTAATTTGAAATTTTCTTATATTTTTTTTATTTCATTTTTTTTTTTTTCTTTGTGTGGTTCATCTGAATAACAAATTATAATTATCAGACTTTAGTTTACAAATTTTAAATCCTTGTATTACTTATCATCTAAATATTTTATTTAAATTTATATTTTGATTCATCTAGACAATTGCAATAAATACTATATAATATCCTATCTAGATTGGTTTGCAATTTACACTGTGAAGTCATACATTTTTCTGGAGAATGCTTCTGAAGTGGATATCATGGCATTGTACTTATAATCCCCCCTCACCTTGCTAATCCAACTGAAACATTGATTTTTTTAAATAATGGCCTCAATTATCATATTGTACAGTTAAATATTTTAAAATTATTCAAGTATAGAAAATTAAATATTTTAAATTATTTCTTCAAAACTAATTAAAACATGTACATATGCAAAATTAAAATCCATAAAATATTACCTTAAAAACCATAAGAAAAATCATGTAAAACAAAATTATGTTATTAACTATTTTTTTATAATAATTGATAACTTAATTATTTCTTTAAATTTTTAGAAGCCGATATAAATTATTTTCTATCATCATAAAAATTTAATTTAAAACTGATAATGTCACCATTAAAATTGTCCATTAATAATTATAAAAATGTCTAAATAGTTAATAAATAAAATATAGAATTACATACTAAAAAATTGGTTTAATATTTTTTTTAAATTTTGTATTTAACTAATATTGCACATTAAAACAAACATTAACAAACATACATAACTAAATAACTTTGAAACATTATTTACAATTAACCCGAGATTACATGCATTTAAAATATTCTTAAGAATTCTTGCACACAGTATTTTTGGCCGTGTATTAAAATATTTCAATTATAACTTGATAAATTGAAATAATAATAATTTTATTGCACTTAAATTACTAATCAAATACTTTTATTGATAACGTTAAAAAATGAAACTTTTATGTACTTAAAAGTTATTATATAATATTATTAGTTCATTAATTATAAATTATTTTATTCTGAAAAAGAATTCTCTTCTATCATTGTGAACAATTTTGGTTAGATTAGGTATATTCATCACATACATATGATTGACACTCATTAAACACATTTTGTTTTTTGTTTAACCAGTTTTTTTGACCACTTTTATAATGTATTTTAATGAATATAATAATAATAATCATAATATATGTATAATTATTATTTAATTATATTAATACATATAATAATATGTATTAATTATATTAATATATATCAAATGAAATTTGAACACTTCTATATTATGTATACAGTTGTGAATATCTTAATTTTAATTCATCACCTAATTAGAAAGTACGTAGGTTAGATTACATAAATATTTCAAATTTTTGAAACAATGAACAAATTTCTAAAAGCCCGGTATTTTAGACATTAAAGTGTGTGTTCTACGATTAATACCTACACCATAGATATATATAAATAAATTAACACTACTAATATAAAATAAAACTATGTATTTTAATTTTTAACAATATACATTCACAAAAAATATAATTGTATGAAAATAAATCAAATAATAATAAAAAAAGAGAAAAAACAATCACTGCTAATAATTAGGTAGATAACTCTAAAAGTAGATATTATTACTTTGAAAAACAATTTAAACAACAATAAAAGTAAAATGGTAAGGACTTTTAATTACACCTACTAAAGTAGTATCGTGCTAATATTAAACATATTTACAGATATTAATTAATATTTTTAAAAAAATTAAAAAATAATAATCTAACAAATAGTTTAGTTTTTAATAATTACCAACTAGTTAAATAATTTTTTTTATTAATATACAATTATGTTTATTGTCAAATAGGTTAAATATGTTTTTAGGTAAGTTAGATTTTATAGTTAAGAACTGTTTTACTATTGATAGTAGTTGAGGAAAGGCTCCTATTGTAATAGTATTATAAATTCTACTTTAAAATGAGTGTATTAGAAAAAGTAGAAGAAATAGCCTATTTTATTTGACAAAAATATTCTACATTGGAATTTGCAACATAAATATTTCTAATGCAGCAATATGTAACATTTCTAATGTGATATTTAAGAAAGATAATTGTAAAAAACTAAAAATAATTTAGTTATGACATTGAATAATCCCAATTCAGTTTTAAAAAAATTGTTAGATAGTAATACAGAGAAAAAGTTACATTTTTATAAATTGCTTAAAGAAAATGGTTACATGAAAAATGATTTTAGTAATTATAAAACAGGTTGTTAATTCAAATTTGTAAAATATTAAAAAATAATCGTAATCGTAAAAATCAACACAAACTATTTCAACTCTTTCAAGAGAATTTTAGAGAAATTAAAACATCTGTTACTCAAAGGGAAATATCCAAAAAGGACAGTTTTAAGTATGGTAAAGAAAATGACTTGAATAAGATTAAACACGAACAGGTGTAAAGAAAAAATTGTTTAAAAAATTGATGGTTTTCTTCAAAAACAAAACAATTATATATCAAATATAGTAATAGATGAATTGGATATTGGTTTGAAAGAAAATGTTCTTGGAATCAAAGATCACAATGTTATTAACTATAGCCCTGAATTACCCAATAGTTCTATTCAAATATAATGATGATTGCTGCAGTACAATGGAAGAAATGTATAGTAAGAATACTGTTTCTATTACAGAAGTTAATATCACTGATGAAATATTAACCATCCCTGCATATAAATTAGACATTTTCTTTACTGGAGATTTGTTTACACCAGAAAAGAGGTTTAAATCTCTATATTGGTTTGTAATAAACCAAAAGCAGATTTAAAAGCATTGCCTAAGAATTCTATGAATGTGTATCCCTTAAAGGTAAGTATTAAATGTTCATTTAATGAAAGAAATAAAATGAAAAAAATGATATGTTATAAAAAGTGTACTTTTGTGGAAGGAACCTGTAGTTTGAAGGATGAAGAATTAGAAAAATTGTTGATGATAAAGTACAAAATAATGTTGTTATTTCAAATGAAATAAATGTTTTTTTTCATGAGAAATTTGAAACTGTAAATAACTCTTGTGTATTGACAATCAAAAATAAAAATATCACCATAAAAGGTTTAATGTGTTATGGTATTTGTTGACATGAATCTTGTAAACAGTTTAAACTTGTGGTAGAAAACACAACTGGTAATTTGTTACAAATGACAGTTTTGAGTAACAGTTACAATTATAGCCACTATGGTAAACTGACTGCATTTTTGAAAGGAAAAAAATCGAGAAAAACATAAACAAATGTTAAAGTACTGCCCACTGATGAGTTTGACAAAAAATATATTTTAAAAACTTCTCCTAGTAAACTAAAACGTAGTAACTTGTGCAACATCAAGTCCAATTGTGTATATTATAAAGTATCTCACAAGCAAAAGAATCTTGATGATCAAGTGGCTGCTGATAAGATTGATATGCATTTATTAAAAGAAACTTGTTCAGAATTCATTCAATGTGTATCTGATCCAAAGGAAAAAGATTTTGAAACTTATTTATTTATCTCAGTCAGATTTATTTTTAAAAAGTGTTATAATTGTAAATCGGAGCGAAATTAATGGTAGTAAAGTTGTACACAGAAAAACAAGGCCATAATATTTTTCTAATAATATCTACATTTAGTACATTTTCCATTTTTCTGACATTCTATTCCGGTTTTTCCGGTTATTATGAAAACCTATTAAAAAATCACAAAAATGACCTCTCCTAAACCATAGAAATATAATTTTCTTTCAGAAAATAATTTATACTCAATTCATGGTAGCAAGATTTCTAATAGAAATATCTAGGTATCTTAGTACACATAAAATGCATTTGATTTTCCCCTATTTAAATAAAAAGGAAAAAAAAAAGTACAGAAAATTTCTTTTCAAACATCGATTTTGAACCCAAGACCCATATATTATGACAATATGTATCCATGAACATTCGACTACAACAAACATATAATAAAGTAGACAATATAGTTATTTAACATAAACATGTAATATCTGCATAATATATGAACTTCAAAAAGCTGAAATTTCAAAACTTAGTAATTTCTCTCAATTCTGACTTTACCATCCTTCTTAAATCGGCAATACACAAATGTTCGAAAAAGAAATTGAAAAATTAGATTTGTTCCATATAACTTTTCAACAAAATTGAAACAATTAGTTCTTAAAATGTATTGGGGAAAAAAATAACAAGAAATTGTTATAGTAAAATAATTATTGTTGTTTATAAATTACTTTCTATAAAAGTTAATACAATTACCATAAACTATTCACTACATTGATAATGTCATTGAAGATAGGTCATAATCATATTTTAATGGATTCATATTTAAAACATGTAACATATTGAGCCTCACTAATTGAAGTTTAAATTTGTTAAGACAATAGTAAAAACTAAACTTTAAATTTAACTTACTTTTTATAATTTGTGGGAAATTTATGAAATGTCAATTCCGGATTTTTCTTGCTATTGTTTTTACAGTTCCAAAAACAACAACTCTTGTATGAATTAATTTTATAATGGTAGGTATAAAAAACAGAACGCTTCAAACACAAAATATTAAGAGAAAAATAAACATAAGGAGAGATTAACAAAATGTCCAAAGATTTATATAATACTATCCTTCACACTATAATTAATAAATTTACCGTTGGGCGCGTTTGAAGTTTTATTCCATTTACGGCGTGTTTTGTGGTCGAGCGATAGGCCAACGGCGAGTGGAGCGGAAGGTGAAGTTTGGGCTTAGGTCAGTGGTGCAGCCTAGCAATCGGCAGCCAGCACGGTAATATATGCTTATCAGGATGACGTGTTAATATCACACGGTAACAGACGGTATCAATGATAATTGTTATCAGTAATACACGTTTATAATTTGAGCATACACTCATAATAATAATATTAACATTGAAATCGAATAGTTTAAAATATCTCCCAAATTGTAAGGAGCAAAAACTTGTATGCATATGAGTTCTGAACAGGTTGCAATAGCTTCTTCAATATGGCCAATTTATTTAACATTTCAAGAATCAATACTAAAAAACAACTAAGACTCCAGATATATCTGTGATCTTAGTCAAGAACATTCTGAATATAGTGAATCACTTTTCTCAACTCAATATGCACAGGTGAAATAACATCTTATCTCAATAATGGTCAAGAAAATTTAAACTAACAGCAGTGATGAAGAATCTTCATATGTTAATGCAGATGACACTTCCGTAGACAAAATATTGAGTCATTTAGAAAATCACTTAAAAGGTGCAATTAAAACACCATTTTTCACAATATTTTAGTAGAGTAATTTAACTATTTTTGTACAGTAGTTTATAATTAATACTGGTATTAAACCATAAGACGGGACAAAGTGGGGCCTTCTTTTTTTAACGCTTTTTTAAAATACCATGTGGATTATTAATTCAAATGACTGCAACTTAAAATATACAAAATAGACATATGAATACAATTTTTAACTTTTTATGTGTTTTCAATTGTTTTTTATTTTACACTAAAAAATAGTCCATCCACTTTACTTATTAGGATGAAGTTGATGCTTGCAATTTTCATTAAAAAATCATTTAATTCCATTAGAATTCAGAATACATACATTTAAGTTAAATCACAATTTTAGATTCTGAACTGAGCAAGGAATGTATTGGTTTTATAATGATGATTATTACTTAAAATATTTAATTATAGACACTTTAATTTTGAGAGATTTGTATATAAATATTATTTGGTAGGTACCCAGCAGATAAAATTATAAGACTAAACAGAAATGATTGATAATACTTTATTTACTGCTCACCTATAACAGTGTTACACCTGTTTCCACCATCATCTCTTTTAAATTCTGAATGAATCGAGGAATATATTGGTTTTAAAATAAGGTTAATTTATTTTATTTTTATCTGTGAACAACTTTTCTACCAGAAATCTTACTCAGATTTTCAAATGATACACATTTTCTGAAATGAAATTTTAGATCATATATTGATTTTTTAAGAAGTTTTCATAATAATTATTTGAAAAATTGTTTAAAATATAGGTACTTATTGGTATTTGAACATACAGATACCCGCCTTAGAAAATATTCTTTCACACGGAACTGATGTTGCAAGTACACAAAGACATTTTTTCATAAGTTCAAATAAACATGGATAAACATTTTGATTGTCCTTTCACCATTTCAAAGGACTTTCATGCCTTGATATTAATTCTTCTTGAAGGTACTTATCAATTTGAACAATAGCTGCAGAAGTTGGATTTGTAGATCTCAACTGACTACTTACCACTTCATCAAATTTATTCCAAATAGAATCTCCTCCCAAAATTGAAATTTGATTTGATATAACCGGCTGTACATTATTTAAATTTCCAATATTTACTACAGTAGCTCTACTAATTAATATTTTTTTTTTTTTTTTCAGAAAATGAACTGGTGTTGAAGAATCCATATTTTTTGAATCTCGGGTCGAGTATTGTAGCTTCAGCATAAATTTGTATTTTTCAAGTGTTCCGAATCTCTGTTCTACTTGTTGTTTTAATGTGTGTATCATACTTGTTAGCTGAGATGTATTATAGAGTTGTGTATCCAAGTATATACAATGTTTAAGAAGCGCTTAACTAAATACAATAGATTTTTTACTACTTATTTCTACTGTAATTTCCTTAAAATATTTAAAAATCTCACATGACTTAGAAATAATGTACCAGTCTTCATTGGTCAAGTAAATATTATAATTGCACTCTACTAAGACCGAAGAAAAAGGAACTTTAAGATTGTTAATTCGTTGGAACATTTCATACATTGAGTTCCAACGTGTAATGACATCCTGAATGAGCATTAAAGGTGGTGTTAACCCTAATTGCCCTTGCATGGTTTTAAGGTTTTCCGCTGCCTGTGGACTTCTCTTAAAATCGCCAACAATCCCTCTTACTTTTTCCTTAGTTTCAAGTATTGATTTAAGAGCTGTTTGTACTGCTAAATTCAAACTATGGGCAAAGCAACCTACATGTCTCCATCTACATAAATTAACAGCATTAACAATATTATAAGTATTATGAGTTGTACATGCAGAAATTTTATTTTCTAAGCCCCATTTCTCTATAACAGCCAATAAATTGTTTTTCAAATTTTCTAAAGAATTTAATTCAAAATTTTTAAAACAAAATAGAAGATATGACTAATTCGCATTCATTATCGATAAAATGACATGTAACAGCAATATAATTTTCATTTTTAATGGAAGTCCAACTATCGTTGTGGTAATACTAACATATTTTGCATGTTCTTGTANTGCTGATCTATAATTTATTAATAGGACGCGCCTATTGGCTTAGATAAATATTGAGTGATGAAATTGTTCACAACCCTAGAACTTTGAGGATGACTATTCAATAGACATTCAATTGATAAAATTGGTTAAACACTGGTTTATAAAGTTTATTTCCAACAGGTTACATTTTCACATATGTGTGATATACTGTGTTCATTTACTCGTGACTACATCTATCAAAAATAAAATCGTGGATTTAAATTTCTGGATGGACTTTTTTGAATTTTTGTAAACTCCCCTATAAAGGTATTATATAAAAAAAACAACATGTAAATCAAAAATGGTGAGTTCATCCTATAAAAAGTGAACAATTATTAAGTGGTGCATTTTAAATTTCTATTTCTGTAATTAATAGTTCTACGTCCATTTTAAACTATAATTTGTATGTATAAAACCTAAATTCAGCAGTTGATGCATGATTTTTCTAATAAACATAAATCAAAACAGTGTTCATGTGACCAATAAGCGCTAATTACATCTGGCGTAACATGTATCAGATAGTATAACCTAGAGATGTCAACTGTGTGACCATTGGCAGAGTAAATCATATAATTTAACAACAGGCATCATGACTTCTGGGTGTATGTTAATAAAAGCCTAAATGTTGAAATTTAGGAAAATGTTCCATTTAAAGTACTACAACCATTTGTAAAATCTTTGTATAAATGTGTAGACAATTTAGGGCATTTTTTTTTTTAACAGAGAAGTATTAAGCAAAAAATAAATGCATTCCTCATTAAACTTTAAGTTTTCTCTCTTAAATTTTAAACAACATTTTAATTTGATTTAAATAAATTATATGTTTTGTTTAGGAAATAAATCTGATCTGAAAAGTTGTAATTGCGTATAGCTTCAGTGATTTATTAACCAGTACAGCCGGCCTATTGGGATAAGAATGCAGCAATTTACCAGAAGGTACTTATCCAGATTGCGCCCTGCAATTAACTCATGCTGCTATTGAATTGGGAGAATCCTATTACCCATTATGGGTCCTAAAATTATATTCAATCCTTTGGTAACAAAATATTCTCACCACCAACTCATGATACATTCCACAAATTAAACTAAAATGATCATTAAGAAGAAAGAAATGTATTGTTGATATGTAAACAGGATGACTTTTTTTTATCATTAACCGGCAATTATTTCAGAATTTTAAGTGAATTTGATTTGTTTTTTCTAATCATTATGTTATCATTTAGGCTTTATTTTAAAATCATTTTTAATTTTTTGCGCCTACTCCTTAACTTTAATAGATACATACTTATGATTTTAAAATAAGACCCCCTCTTTTAAACACAAATTTAAGTAGAAAATATTTTTCTAGACATTTTGATATGCATATCATATTTACTGTTTATAAGTTATAATAGTTTAAAGTTTAGACTTGAGGAGTAAGGAAGGGTATTAGACAGGTCATTTATTCAAAGCTGTGTTCAAAAGGAGGAGGATTCCTATTTGACATGTGAATAAGACAACAGTAATATATTTGTATTCTAATAAATGGTATACCTAGATATGTATCAATGACCTTTTTTTTGTTTCCTTCATTGTTGATTAAAAATATATTATATTTTTGAATCATGTAAATAAATAAAAAATAAAAATCAACAATAAAAACAAGGAAATACCAAATGATGTTGATAAACAATGTTTATTAATCATGGTCAAGAAATTAATATTATGTTTCCTAGAGAATGTTCAGTAAAATATGCAGGAATAATGAATCTTAAATAAACTACAAATATGTTTTTATTAGCAAATAAGTTCATAATCTTTAAGGTTTTATTATATTTTTTTGAACAATAAAAAAAGTGATGGATTATCAAAATCTTAAATATAATATATTTCTTTTTTTTTGTTTTAGAACCCATGCTTTTATTATTGTTTTATTCAAAAGATCCAATTGAATTTTAATTTTTTTTCTATATTACAATATAAATTACTTTTATTTCTGACTAGATCTTTTAGTTTTTATGCAGAAACTTCTTTTGTAAATATTTTAATGCAAAATATATTTTTATTTCTATTATTGATGATGGATACTTCCAATGGTGTTTTGGTAAAAAAACTAGAGGGTATATGCGCATTTAAAAATTTATGACAATGACTATTGTGTATTTATTAGGATCAAAACTTATCAGATTTTACCACTCAAAATGAAGCTCGCGAGTATTCAAGTCTTTTTACAAGTATAAACTTTTATNTCAAAAAAAAAATGTTTATTCATTTTATACCATATTATTTCTTGATTTACTTAAGTATTTAAAGCTTCCATGGAAAGTTAAATAATTGCCCAATTTTAAAGGCAAAAAATATAAATATAATTTTAAAATAAAAGCATAATTATGTAATAGTTAAATAGGTAACTACAAAAAATATAAAATATATACAATTAACTTTAACAGAACCTATACATAATAAAAAATATCTTTTTTTTAAACAAGTTTTATATTTTAGTGTATTAGGCTTATATAAATAAAAATGTTGAATTAGTGAGTTGAAAAGGTTTAACAAAATTGAATAGTATTTTAATAAAAATAACTTTCTTTTTTTTAAATGGATAACAAATTAACAAATAAAATATGATGCTTATATTGTACTTAACATTATATCAAAACTTTAAAACTAAATATTTTACAGAATTTGCCATAGACTCTTTTTGACAACTTTGCTCTCACTTTTTTCTATGTTATTTCTTGCTATTTTGGTCCTAGTGTCTTCTGCACACCTATGATTGAAGAGCCAACTTTTCAAGTTTTCAATCTTCAGGATTCCAATCACTTAGGGGAGATTCATTTATGTTAATAAACATTAAATTAGAAATATTATTTATTGTGAACGAAGATCATGATATGAATGTTATTCATAACACTGAATCCTCTTTTACATTCTGCGGTTGAACATGGAAATGTTTTAAGAATGATGTAGAATGCAGACATCACTTTTTTAGGATCAATAGTTTAATCGTAAATAATTTTTCTCATACTGCTAATAGCTTCGTCTTGGTCCAGTGAAAATCTTTTACATAAGTATTTAATATCATCTCCATATCAAATATCTGGGTCCTCAGGCCAAGTTGATTTTTCCAACACTAAAATATTTTTCAAAATAATTTTATTTTCACCGTCATTGTCAAGAAGTCTTGATTTTAAGTTATTTGTTAAAAACTGATTTTTATTTATGCTTATCATTTTTTTGTTTGAAGTTAAATCAATATTTTTGAACTTCATATCTTTTATTGCAACTACAGCTTGGTGCATATAATTACCATTATTAGTTTTAAAAGAAGTTATAACCCTTATACATCTCTTTATAGATTGTTCAGCTTGAATCAATGTAATAGTGCGACTTTGAAATTTAGTTGATAAGTTGGATAATTCCTGAAGGACATCACACATAATAGCTAAATCATTAACAAATTCAGGGCTAGCTAATTTTTTAAGAAGTCCTTGGTACTTATTCTTAGTTTTCGAATCTCTATTGGAATCATTGGACGCAGTATACAAATTTTTATAAAATACAAGAAATATTTTCCATGGACATTTACTGCTCTCCAACTACTAGCAACCCAACCAATTTTTAAAAACAAAACATCTAAATCATGACAAATTTCTCTTAATTCAATTTGATTTTTAGAGGATGCATTTTATAGAACATAAAGTGAGTCTATAAAACATTTGAAGTGATTTGCAGCGCTTACATCTTTGAGTGAATCATTAACTGCGAATTCAAGACGATGATTCCTACAGTGCCAACTAAAGATAAGTGGGTACTTATCCTTGAGTTTTTTAACAATACTATTTTTTTTACCCAACAAAATGCTTGCTCCGTGGCTTACAAAGGACACCCAATGTTGTTGTAAATAGTTTTCATCAAGCCCTGATGTATGTAAGCAGTTAATTAATTGACTTAAAATATTTTCTGCGGTTTGATTTTTTAACTCAACCAAGTCTAGAAAAATAAAAAGAGGTTCATTATTCGATATTGATACTTTTAAATAAACAACCATGCTACATTAATCACTGAGTGTAGTTGATTCGTCAATTAGAATGGAACATTTTGCATTTGTGTCAATAATATTTTTAATAATTTTGTGTTTCATTTCTTTAGAAATATGTTGAAGAATATTGGTAGATGAGTGTCTAGAATGGAGGGCAAACCCTAATTTTATACCATTTAGTTCCTGTAATTGCACTAGTTTTAAATGATCATCAAATGGACGGTTATATTTTGCTATATAATAAGCAGTGTTGAAAATAGAATGTGTAGCTTTGTTTATCTGATAATCCTTTTCTTCCATAAGCTTGGACAACATATTCTTGTCTTCATTGTCTAATATTTGAACAGCAGATTTGTGTGCTTGGATTTAAAATATTTTTTAAGTTTGTTTTTTAAAACAGTGAGGCAAGTTTTCTTGTTAGTATTTGTTCTTCCATCAATTTCACATGTTGCCCATTCTTGAGATATTTCAATCTTTCGAGGGGTTTTTAATTTACTCACATTTCTGCATATATCACATCCAATTTTTCCATCAGCACAGTAAAGTCTTTTAAATTTTTCTTATTTATCTGACCATTGCACTGATGTCCATTCAGACATCCACAGTGAATCCTGACAGTCAGCTTCAGAAGACTCAACATTGTCTAATTGAATAGATGGAGAAGATGGCTCAGAAAACAAATTTTCATTTACCTACATCAAACAAAACCATCTAAGTATATAATTAGATCAGGTACCATTCAGAATTTCCAGTACCTTGAATAAGAGATATTTGGCACCAATATAATTTTTAGTTAAAAATTAATTAATATATTTATTAAAAATAAACTAATTCAAATTATTTGACGATGGTTGTAAATTACCACAATTAATAATCACGAAAAATAAAATATTAAAATTGTGGTTTCTAATTTATATATGTAGTATAATATACAAATTAGGTTAGTATAGTAGGTACAACTTTGGCTCAAATAAATAATAATTGAAACGTAAAGTGTTTTCTATTAACTTATTAACTTAAATTCTACGGAACGGTTTTAACCCTTTACTGTATGCATTTTTAAAATTAAAACAAATAATTATTTTTAAATTACTTTTTGTGTAAAAAATATAATTTTAATTTTATTAAGTCTCAAATATGCAATTATATGTACCTATATGTACCCATATGAACTATCTAAGCATTGTATAGTACTAGGAGTTTTTATATTTTTTTTTTATAGAGCAATAGGTACCTATATTGTAAAAAAAAAAATGTTAAATGCATTTTTCTATAAAAATGTATACTTACCTATTTTAAGAAAAATAAAAAATATATCTTTTAATAGAAAAAAAATAATACATAACAATCGAAAAAGAATATAATTTTTATATAAATGTGAAAAACATTTATATGAAGTAAACAAATATAATAACAATTTAGTTACATTATAGTAACAATTTTATGAATATGTCATTATGTTGTTATATTATAAACAAAATAATAACAAATAATAGAAAAAGAAAACAATATACCTTATACCTTTATTTATGTGATAAATAACAATAATTGAGCTTCTACTTCTTTAGACGCCATCTAAATAGCGCACAAGTAAACGAATTAATAAAATTAAGACAATTTAAAATGTATTACCTTATTTGTTTTTATAGTTACTTACCTCAACATTTTCTAAACAGATTTTTTTTATTTGTATTTGTTGAAAAATAAGAAAATAAAGTGCTTTTTTTTGTGTGTGTGTGTGTGTGTAGAATCCATATTGTCAACACTTCACAAGCCATAAAAAAAAAAAATATAAGAAACAAAATGTAAAATAAATAATAATGGAAGACGAGCAATGCCGCAGGAAGTCAGCACTCGGAATATCACTCGCCACATTATCTAGAATATTCTTGTATAGAAACGTCCAAAGGCCGCTTGTAGATATTATAATTGTATACCTAATGAATATAGCTAGACGATAATTGATAGCTATAAATAATAACCAATTATCAATGTTATTATTAAGTAATATTACGTATGCCCTATGGATTTACTCTTCATGTTTATAATTCTCTTCATTTTTGATGTTTTTTTTTTCTATTTATGTAGTAGGTATACGAGCGTATATGTGTTACTTTTATAAAGTATACGCTTAATCACTAAGATGGTTCACGGGTATACCCTCCAAAACACCACTGGATACTTCGTACAATGAACAAATAAATCGTTGATGTATAACAATTTAACATTTGAAATTGTAACAATAGTGCGTATGCGAAAAAATTATTTGTTAACCTTTTTTACACGGAAAAACAATTTTATGTGAAACAAAACCATTCTTTTAACAATTATGATAGGCCTTTTTTTTTTTTAACTTATAACTTATCTCAATAATTTTATATTCATAAACAAAAAACTTTAAATTTTTACAAACTTTCAAAATAATAATTTTTAAATCTTTTTGTATCAGCTCAAAAATAAAACCGACATATCACAGCTTAAGTTCTTATTAAAACAAAAAAAAAATTGCTGATTTATCATAATTATTAACAAAATGACTTTCTTACTCCACAACTATATTTTTATGCTTAAATTTATGGGTGTATCATGTCCTCTTAAACAGTACAGCTGACCTATTGAAGTTATAACACAGCAATTTATCAGATGGTACTCATTATATTATTTTGTGGGTATATAATATTTATTTGTGTTTATAATTAGAGTTTATTTGTAATTTGCAAATGTTAATTATTTTATTCATACAGAAAAAATATAAGATTTATTGTTAATTGAAAATTAAGTATCATTAGAAATAATACTAAATAAATAATTTTGGTTATGGAATAAAAAACATTGTTTAAAATAAATCACTTTTAGCTTACACTATTTATATATGTATAAGTAAAATTATGTATTCAGCTATAAGATATTTCTGACAGTGTTAAAGTGAAGAAGAAAAAGTTAATTCAAGAATTGAAAATTAAATGTTGGATAGGAAGTACAATAAAATATGCACGAATAGTGAATCTTAAATAAAGTACGAATATATGATTTTTTTTTATTAAGCTATATGTACATAATATGTTAACCAATCCTTAAGGTTTTACTGTCATAAAACTATTTCCTCGAACAACAATAAAAAAAAAGATGGCCTAGAAAAATAGATAATGGTACAGCCACTGTTATAGGTAATTTAATATATATATCTAAGCAATGATAAACCATTGTTAACGAAAAATGATTTTGAGTGCAGTTTAGTAAATAGTAATATCTTATCAACAATATTTATGTCTTACTATAGTAAAATAATTAAATAATTAAAATAATAAAAAATAGTTTAATGTAGTTCAGATTTTCTAAAGTTTTCTGTCTTAATTTCAAATGTAGGAATATTTTTAACTTAATTAAAACAAATAACAAAATTGATAAAATATTAAAAGCATTAATTTTGTACATTTCCCGTTTTTTCTTAAGTTTTATCCTGATTTTTCCAAGATATTATGAAAACTGTTGGAAAATCAAAAAATGACCTCCCAAAATTACCATCTGGACAACATTCACTTTCAGAAATGGTGCTATGCGTATATATCTAAGCAAGATTTCTGATAGAATTTTAGTACACTGGATAAAAAAAGAAAAAACAAACATCAGTGAAAACAATACATTCTTCGCTACACTCAGAATCTAAAATGTGATGGGTTAACAAAGTCTTAAATACAACATTTTTTTTCTTTTTAAAACCTACACATTTGTTATTGTTATATTCAAAAGATCCATTAATTATACTATACTGAATTTAATCAAATATAGCAATTGAATTTTTATTTTTTTTTAAAAAAAAAAATTTAAATCAATACCATCAAGACTAAATCTTTTAGAGCTTTTATAGATATACTTTTGTAATAAAATTATGTTAGATCAATCAACGCTGCGCTCAGAGTTCAAAAAATTATGCAATAAATAGAGTTGAATTTAAGTGTGTATTTTAACTTATATTTTATGATTAACACCCTCACATATCTATTTTACTTAATCCTATGTAAAATTTTAATTTAATAATAGTCTGATAACGCTAATGTGAACTATGAACTGCGAATGGTTCTCTATAGTTGAACTTTTGTCGTTGTTTTCGTTCATAATCAAAATTTGTTACTTCAATTAAATTATGTCAATGATGATATGGTGTTTCACACAAGTGACCTCCAGTTGTTTTTTCTTCTACTGGTATTAAAACTTCTCCCGATTCGAGTACATACAAATACGAGAAGTATTTTATGATAATGTTTTTATATTAGACATAAATTAATTAATTTTGATTGATATAATAATATAATTACGTAAAGATCATAGGAACTTGTAAGTATTTAAATTTCAAAAGTAATTTGTATAACTTTTCATATTTTGTAATATCAATTTTTTTTTTTTTTTTTTTGCTGTAGATTGTTTATTTATTCATTTTTAACTATTTTTATTATATATTATTCCTTTTTTCAGATTTAACTAATTGTACAGAATCCAATAATAATGCTCATCAAAATTGGTTTTATTTTTTCAGTACAATTTTACAATTTGACATCATGAATGTTTGTGTTTCTTTTATAAAATATTGTTTTACTAAATTAGATTCTGGAAAAATTTTGGTTTTTTAGATCATAAAAATATATGTACTGGATACATAAAAAAGATATATGCATAGTTGAAAATCCTCAACTATATAGACCATAGGCTCGAGAAGTTTATTAGGGTCGACTTCAAAGATTAGTAATAAACATTTTAAAAATGAAATAGACTAAATAAATATGTCATTGTTATGCATACTCTTAATTTTAAAAATAAATATGTCCATAATATACTTTAGGTGATAGAGTTTGTTTTTAAAAATATAATATATTAAGTTTCTATCCGTCCTAAACTTGGTAGAAATTGAAAATATAAGCAAAAAAATGTGTTCATTCTTATTCGCTCTAACTTCAGGTAAATAGGAATACGTTTTTGAACAATTATATAAAAAAAACCAACGTATTTAAATACTTCCTAATTTGTCTAAGTTATCCACCTACTTGTCTTCTAAATCTCATAAAAATACAATATAACACAATATCGCTACACTATGCTACTAATGAACCCCTTACAAGAATGATGAAGATTGTCAATGCTCAGCTCTCCTTTTTTAATTAATTAATTTAAATTTACCTTATTATTACTATTTCTTTTTATTATTATTATTTTACAATTTTTTAAATTCTAAAAGTTCTCAAAAAACAATGAACGTTGTGTAAAGCTTTGATAGTAATATAGTAAAGAATAATAACCAAAAATGTCACAAAAAGCAGAAACATTTATTACATGTTTTGTAACATCATAATGTCCTCTACAAAGTACATGTAAAAGAGATACAAACCTGTTATAGGTGAGAAGTTGAGAATGTAGGATGATATAGAAGGGAATTTAATGTATATCTGTATGCAATGATTAATCTCTACTAACGAAAAATGGTTCCGAGAGGAATTCGGCTATACATGTTTTAAAAAGCTATAATATTTATATTTAAAACAATTTATTTCACAAATTGTCCAATTTTCTCCAATTTATTATGAAAACAGATGGGGAAATCAAAAAATAACCCTAGTCAGATTTCCTTTCAGAAAAAGTGCTGTACTTAAAAATCAGAGCAAAATTGCTGTTAGAAGTTGTGTACAAATGAGCCATAACTTATTATCAAACAAATTTTTACATTATCTAAGTACAATAAGAGAAAAAAATCAACAATACTCAGAAATAATTCAAAACAAAAAAAAAAAAGATAAAATAGACAGAGTAAAAATAACATGATCACTACCAACTGATCTATAATCAATATTACTTTGTATTAAATTTGTTATATATATATATATATATATATATTTATGTAGTATGTATAATATGTGTAGTATATGAAGTAACAAATAATAAGTTAATGTGTTCCATTTGTTGTACTTCCTAAAGTTTAGGTTTGAGAAGCACCAATATTTCAAGAATCTGAAAAACAAAAATAAAAATATTTATTTATTTATATGCAAATTTAGAACATAGCCTTTGTTTAAAAGTACAATATACATAATAATTTTAAGATTATAAGACATTAAAGAAAAACAAAAGAAAACATACAGTAAAAGTAAGTAATAAAGGTACACAAAACAAAATTTTACATTTAATTGGACACACATAAGGAAGGAGGGATCCACATTGGCGCAAGACATTAGCAGACTAATAGGTTCATTGTGCATGCAGTTGGTAGCAGAATGTGGAATTAAAAAGGAAACGGCTGATCTAGTATTGCGCTGGGGGACCTAAAAATGAAGCGGAGATGAGGATGGAAAAATTAACTTTATTATTCAAAAGACCTTTCATGAAGTTTATACCTGCTAAATATCTACGCTCAGCCAAATATTCTAAATTGAGTAAATCAGACACAGAGGTATAGTGTTGGGGCAAACATTAAATGATAGGCAAACCGCAAAAACCGTTACTGAACCCTTTCAAGCTCCAACGAGTAATCTGCAGTATGAAAATCCCATATAATTGCATACTAAAATTAGTACTATGAGTAATGTGATACATTACACTCAAAGAAAACCAGTATAATACAGTATTGTTTTGTTTGCAGAATATATTTAAACTACTTTGGGGCCACTGATTAGTGATTATTAATGCAAAATAATAATAATAAAAATAGGTACAAAGTACAAATATTATTATATATTATATAGAGCCAGTTAAAAATTCAATAGGTATTACTTACTCAGGTAAACATTGGAGCTTTGAAAAACATAATAAATTTTGATCGATTATTCTGAAAGTAAAACCAACAATATATCTACTTGAACGGTCAAAGAAAATTATTAACTTGAAACAAATATCGATTCAAAATTGTATGGGTAGATTTAATAGACATAATAATATTTATTTATCTATTAATATGTGTATAGTAGATTTATACAGATTGATGATAATATACAACAAAAATATGATCTTTAACCGAAGAGCTATTTGCTGTATACGCCGTCTACAGAGTTTTGGAGCGCGCTGATACTTTTAATTTTAATTCAATAACACTCTAAAATGAAAAAATAGTACCTACTGGCTACTACCTACATCAAAATAACCAAAATAATAAATTGAGTGCGAATAATATTATAGATTATAGCATGTTAAAATTGTATTCTATTTACTCTGGTAAACAATCAACACAATTGGACTGTAGAAAACATGAAACACTGTAGAAAATAACGTCGAAAAACGAAAAATGGTTAGCGATCGTAAACTGCTATGTTAAAGGTAGGTATGATCAACGACGAATATTAATGACGTCACAGCGTAATGACCTGTAATATAGCGAGAAACGTGCCGTTCGTACGCACATATATAGTATCAATGATGTTATAGTGTTGGGAGGTTCGGGAAAAACGAAAAAGCAGAAAAACGCAAAACGAATTTGAAATATTCGAAAAAATCCGAAGTAAATTATCGTGAAAAGAACAAACGTTAGAAGTCCGTAAATAAAAATCCCCTTATAGAGACGTTTTCGCCAAAGCCTCCCCGCTTACCATTATTTCCGTTGTGTTGGTATGCCGTGTGTTTTAAACATATTATTATTACGTCATATTATGTATAGCGTCCATCTATACTTTTGTATAGCATACATCCTGTCGCCATTCCTACTGCTATTGTCATATTTGTATGCTTCCCTGCGCCACACCCTCGAGGTACGTAGTTTTGTTTTTCCATTTCCAAATTAATGATCAGCGACTTAATGAAATTCATCTTGAGTTAATTTCTGTTTTTGTTATATTTACATTCTGACTGTCAAAATAAACCAAAATTTAATCACCAGGTGCTTTTCATTTTTCAAATTACACTGAATAACTACCATGTCTGACACGTCTGAAAAACTCCAGGAACAAGTAGTGTTGAATTTGGTAATTTATTGTCAGCCGCCTTAGATTATTAAATTCAATATCATCCATTATGAATCATTTTGTTACAGGATTTTGCCGAAGTTGCACAATCTCAGCATGAAGCAATTAGCAGTCAAGTTACAAATAATATAGGTAATATGCCAATAATTTTTTATTTTGATTTCCAAAATTATTTTTAATATATTTTACCCCATAAGTTTTTATAGTATTAATATTATCATAGGATATTGGTAGATATATAATGGTTTGGAACAAATCTAGTTTAACACTCCTTTTAAATTTTGTATTTTCTTTTTCGAAATCTATGTATTTCAATGTTTTAAAAATAATGGTTGAAAATGTTTATAGAAATCATTAGTATTGAAGTTTGGATATTATGTGTATTATATTAATGATTAAAAATTCTTACCGGGCAAACATATATATATATATGTCCAGGCCACTTCAATTTTTACCATTTCTTGGTACCATATTGATAGTTGTATTCTTAATTCTAAATTTTTGTTTAGAAAAGTATAAACACATACACATAGACCATACATTTGTAGAAACTTTTATCACCGAATTCAAATCCCTTCAATATAGTATCTTCCATACATATTTTTTTTAAAAGGAAAATATGTCTACCGTAACACTTATTAAAAGATATTATTATATAATTTCAATGGTCAGGATACAGGATTTTGAAATGGAAGGAGAGAGGCTAAGCTAAAACAAATGTCTTGCAAAAAACATAGTTTTTACTATGATTTTTTTTTTTTAAATCACCAAAAAGCTTTTATTGTAACGATCAAAATAAATCTTTAACAATACATTATCAAAGGTGTACATAAATACTTGTGATGTATTTATATACAAAATAAAATAAACGTGTGGAATCTCACTCCCAATGAAGTGGCCCCGAACTTAGTTTAAGAATCTTATACTAAGTCATATGGTCTTCAGTGTTTGAGACGCCTAATGTCTAAAGAGTTGTCTAGTAATTGTATTGCTGCTGGATTGGTTTGTTGATCCAGTATTTTCTCATGTTTGTGGGCAAACTTGGTAATCTCTTCCTGGACAAAGTTGATCATCATATCTCGGTAGATAATGTTGTTTCTGTCAATACCGGTAAGCTGCGACAATGGTATGGAGAGTAATGTTCTGGCAATTTATAATCTCAACATTGGACTTGCTAGCACAACCCCACAGTTGAATTCCATAAGTTCATATTGGTTTAGTTATCATTATGTACAAGAGGCATTTACTTGTGAGATCTAGTTCGGAATGATTTCTGACCAACCAATATAGTTGTTGCAATTTCTTCTTAATTTGCATTTTTTTTGTGTCTATCGCAGTGCTTCTAGTTGAGCCGAGAGTCCAGGTGCATTCCTAGGTATTTTGCTGAGTCATACTGTGGGATCCTCTGCCGATCTAGTGATACCGGTTTATAGACGGTTTTACTCAAGGTGTAATTTACATTTACCTATTTTCCCCGTTAATTTTAATCTTTCAACATTTCGTCTAGTTGATGGACCTTTGAAGCCAATCAGTCGCAGTCTGCTAGTCTTTATTTGTTGTCATTATTGCTGTGTAGCGTAAGTACACATCCAAGGACACTTCCTTGTGGTACACCCGCCGATATGTTTTTCGAATCAGTTAATGCTTCTTCATAAATGACCCTGAATTGACATTCAGTCAGGTAAGATTCGAACAGTGTGCATCAAGTGTGTGGCAGCTGTTCACATAGTTTTATAAGTAATCCTTCGTGTCAAACTTTATCGAAAGCTTGTGCCATGTCAAGAAATACTCGGCAGCAATACTTTTTCTCTTTAAGCGCTTTACTTATTACATTGGTGACATGATGGACCTAGTCACTTATTGAGTGTTTATTTAAAAATCCAAACTGATGTTACAGTATAAGCTGTCTTTCTTCTATCAACAATCTTAAGCATTTTAGAAGTAGTTTTTCGAGTAATTTTGAGATGCTTGGAAGAAGCTAAATTGACCTATATGAAATTACTTGTTCTGGTAGTTTTCCTGGTTTAAGTACCATGATCACTTGGGGCATATAAAAATGTCTAGAAAAATATTCTCTACTTAAATTTATGTTTAAAAGAGGGGCTCCTATTTGAAAATCATAAGTATGTACCTATTAAAGGTATAAGGAGTAGGTGCAAAAAATAAAAATGATTTTAAAATAAAGCCTAGATGCTTCCATAATGATTAGAAAAAACAGAAATCAAATTCACATAAAATTCTGCGATAATTGCTGGTTAATGATAAAAAAAAATCATCCTGTATACATATCAACGATACATTTCTTTCTTCTTAATGATTATTTTAGTTTACAAGACACTATAGTCAATTGGTTGAGTATAAAATCAAATAATCAAATGTAGTATGCAATTGAATTTTTATTTTTTTTTAAATTTAAATAAATAGGTACCTGTCTACATTACAATATAATTTATATTTATTTTTAACTAGATCTATGAGTTATTATACAGCAACTTTATATTTTTAAATTTAATTTAAATAAAAAAAAACCGAATATATTATTTTATGTATACATGTAGGCAGTAGAAACATTGGTTGGTAATTTAAACGCAGTATGTATAGTGAAAACATCCGATTTCTTTTCCATTTCTTTAAAATTAACTTGATCGAAAAAACAGAGTTTATAAAATTGAATAATATTACAGTTAATACACAATTCATTAATTGTATATCAAGGTGGTTGAAATATTAAAATTCAATATAGAAATTAATATTTTTATTTTTCATTATAACTGTTTGCAAATTTAATTGAAGATACTACAGTCTATGATTATAATGTTAGAATTTTACCACTGCTAGCACTAAAAGGACACTGTAAGAAGGGTTCTTATTTTTTAATTCTGTGACTTGAATTATTCTATGATACTACTTGATTATAGAATAAGCCATATAATATCAAAATATCAATAATCCTTAGAATAGATAGGTACCAAACAGTTTGTGTGTGTAAGGTATAATATTCATTAAACTGAAATCGAAATTTAAACAATGATATTATTTATTATAATATATAAAAAATCTAAATTCAAACTTAGCAATGAATTGTACAAATGAATTTACCAAGTAGGTAGGTATCCAGTTCATTTGTGACATGATGCATAGTATAGGTTTCTACTTTAGGTACTTACCTACTTAAATGTGATTGATTAAATTATCAAATAAACTATAATATGTGATGAATAAAACAATACAATTTACAAGTAATAATATTATATTAATGTTTAAAATGTAAAACTGTTCAAATGTTTAATACCTAGGTAATATAAATTTGATTAAACTGCTGCTCTTAAAAATACCTATTATAATCTAACCATTTATCTTTCAATGTATTAATAGGTAATTATTATGTTTGTGTGCTCATGTTCAAGGAAAGTATTTGTTAGGTACTATTAAAATGTGATAACTGATGAATAATAAAGTTTTGAGAGTATACATTTTCCTAACTATACGATATACATACCTATTCTCAAAACCATAAAATACCATTTAGAAGACTGTATTGAAAACATTGACAAAAACCACAGAGTTTAAAAATAAACATTAGTTATTGTAGACTGTATATTATAATTTTAAAAAGATACCTACCTATATGGATAGATTTATACCAGTAAATTGTGGTGATTGTATGTAGTTTTTTTTAAATAGCAATCTACCTACTTACTAATTCAGTTTTTTCTATCTGAATATGTCAGTACATTGATATTTGATATTAATCAATAATTATTTATGTAAAACTGATTAAAAAGTTTAGTTAGATAAGATAAAGAAATAAATAACTTTACACTATTGTTACAATCTATTTTTCTGTAATTCTAAATGTTAAATGGTTATACATTAACAATTTATTGGTTCATTGTATGATATATGTATTCATCAATAATAGAAATAAAAATATATTCCGTATTCAAATATTTACAAAAGAAGTTACTGTATAATAACTCAGATCTAGTTAAAAATAAAAATAAATTATATTGTAATGTAGACAGGTACCTATTTATTTAAATTAAAATAAAATAAAAATTCAATTGCATACTACATTTGATTAATTTTAGTACAGTATAATAAAAGTGTAGGATCTAAAACAAACAAAAAATATGTTATATTCAAGATTACCTATTTTTTAATAAAAACATATATTTGTAGTTTATTTTAAGATTTACTATTCGTGCATAATTTACTGAACATTTAATATTAATTTCTTGACTAAATATTTTTTTCTTCTTCCCTTTTACACTGCCTGTTATACATTATAGCTGAAAACATAATTTCACTAATACTAACATAAATTGTGTAAGCTAATTAAAGTTACTTATTATTAACAGTATATTTTATTTAGTTGTCAGAACTATTTAGTAATATTTTTTGATACTTAATTTTAATTTTACAATAAAATTTATTTCTTCTGCTTGAATAAAATAATTAATATTAGCAAATTACAAACACTCATTTATTGATTAGTGTTACCTTATAGTTTTTAAAAAAAACCTAAAAAATATTTTTATATTGAATGTTTTAATTATACAATTTTACCAAAGTTAACTTATTATTCTGCACTCATTTAATATTTTTCGTACAATGTTTGTAAAAAGTAATCAAAAAAAAAATATTAATGGAGACTAACTATTATTAACATATTTTTTAGTGTCTGCGATATATCTGCAATGTGTCTGTGTATACAAATATTATGTTATATGATTCATAAATATTTTATTGTTTCCTAATAATTTATTAAAAAAGTTCTTATTGTTGATTATTATGTATTATTTACTTACATGATACAAAAATATAATATACTTTTATAAAGGATCATTGATATGTAGCTAGATATACCATTTATTAGAATAAAATTATGAAAAATAATAGGTAATAATTTTAAACCTCATTAAATAATATACATTTTTTCATAGAAAATATTCAAAATGTAGATTTATTATTTTTTCTTCGTTCAAAATTGTGTCGGAATCATAACAACACATTATTTCAAATTTTTGTTCAAGTTATTGACGTTTAAACTTCCAAGTTTTCTGATTAAAAACAATGATAAGAAATTTACAAGTAGATAAATAGTTAAAAGGTAAAATTAATTATTATGTATTATTTACTCACATGATACAAAAATATANTCAGTTTAAAAAAAAAAAAAAAACACAAATATATTATGACATACTTATATACAATAACAATAATAATAAATAATAAACAAATTTTGTTATAAAATTAAATATTGTGCATACAGCTATATAGGGCTATTTTTTTTTTTATCATGAACCAGCTATTATCTAAGAGGATTTTAGGTGAATTTTATTTCTGTTTTTACGCAAGTTATAATTTACATTTACCTATTTTCCCAGTTAATTTTAATCTTCCAACATTTCGTCTAGTTGATGGATCTTTGAAGCCAATCAGTCGCAGTCTGCTGGTCTTTATTTGTTGTCATTATTGCTGTGTCATCAGCAAACATGGCTGTCTTTATTACAATTATTTATATTTAATTGAATAAATAGTGTAATTGTGTAATGATTATTTAATTAGTAACTAGCAGATGTTTTCATAATATCTGAGAAAATGTAAAAAAAAATGAGAAATTAAAAAATATAATGCTTTTTATTATTTTAAATTTTGTTATTTGTTGCAATTCAGTTAAAAATAATTGTAGATATTTGAAATGTGAACAGAAAACTTATATTCGCCTATTTTTACATGGTAAAACTATAAAAACATTTGAGCCATATATTTAAGCTATTTATAGACACTTCAATTCTTATTCTGTAGGTACTCTGTGGATAAAATTGTTAGGCAAAACAGAAATGCTTGGAAATTGAATAAGAGTTTATAATTATAATTAATTTTATAAGTCCTACTTTGCAGTTAAGACAAAAAAATTTATTTTAATATAGTATATTTTTTTTCTAAGAATTTTAATACCAAATTTTGATAAAAATTGTTTTAGTAAAAAATGATGTAAAACAAATCTAATTTCTACAGGTTCGTACATATTGTTTCTTTATAATCATTTATCTTAATATAATATGACTTGTGTATTTTTGAAAAAGTAATAGGTACTACTAACCGAGCTCTGCTCAGAATCTTTTTTCATTAGCAATGATTAATTTTTGCTTACGGATATTAATCTTTCTACATCCTACCAACCAAGTTCATATCTACAAAAATTGTACACCCATAAAGCGAATTATGTTGCTAACCTATCTTTTTTCTTATCAATCATTAATATTGATTTAAATTGTTTCGCCCCTCCCCTCCATAGTCTATGTCTGGAGACGACCCAGAGAGCAGAGTACACTTTATTGTACATTACTTGATTGTTACATACATATGTATTAAGTTAAACTATGATACACAAAAGCTAATTAGACAAACTATTATAAAAATTATCTGTACTTATATTTATGTGTAAAACCTGTAAAAAAAAGATAAAAAAACTGCTATTGATATATTTTATATGTACCTACCTAATATAGGCGAAGACTCTACTATAAATATATAAATTAGATATCTTGGATATTTTTTTAAATTTATTTCTAATTTTTCTTCAAAAAAATATAAAATATGATAACCATAATGCAAGGACTTTGTAACTACTCAAAAAAGAAAACTTAAAAATATTAAATAATACAATTTATTTTTCAAATCTCCATGGGATACCCGTAGATAATGATTTTTCTCCAGTTTAAATATTAAATTGTTATATTTCATAAACGGTATTTTTGATAGGGAGGTTACCATTTGAAAGTTTAAAAATTTTAAAGTTAGTATAAATATGTACAATACAAATACTAAAGATCACCATTCCTACATTAGAGGCAATAGTAATAATAATTAGGGCTGTAAATTTAATGCAATGAAAACCCTTAAAAATGCAATATAAAATACACTTAAATGGTTTTTAATTTAATTTTTATATTTATTTTTAAAATTGAACAGGAGGTTAATTATAGGTCATACTTTGCAATCAAAACAAAACAATTTAACTTGATATAAATTTTCTTCATAAGAATTTTAATATCAAATTTTGATGAAAATTGTCTACTCATTCGTATGGACTGTTTTAATCGAAAATACACATAATATCGGAACTTAAAATGGCCATTACTTCAAAAGTAATGATTTTCACCAAAACGTTTTTGCTCAATCATTTTTAAACCATTAAAAAATACATAGGTTTCAAAAAAATATTTGATAGAGGTGCTAAACTAGTTTTATGCCAATAGTTTATACCAGCCATACTCAACCTTTATTTTTTACTTAGACCATATAGGTGGCTTCTTAATTTTTTGAGATATGCAAGACAACATATTAATTAAAGTGATTAGAGAGAAATAAAAAATCCTAACCTAGCTCAACATATGATATTTATCATTGTAGATAATATATTTTATTTGCGGATTCACCCAAGCTTTATATAGAATAGGACCTAGTTTTATTATTTTAAGACTTGATGGGAGTAATATTATGATGATGATGATGATGATGATAATAATAATGGCAGCTAAAAATTATTTTGTATTGTTTTTAAAAATAGTAACAGCAGTTTTTATATTATGTGTTGCAGAACCAGAAGACCATAGCCAGAAAAGTACAAATTGTACAACAAAACAAAACAAACCTGAAAAAAATAGTGAAGCATCAACCTCAATTGTTGCACTTCATTCAAGACATACCAGTGGAACCAATGAATCTAATGACATAGATAGTAAAGAAGAGATCCTAGAACAAATTGATAATGGGATTTCTGAAACTCTCCGTGATACTGCATTTTTAACAATGTCAGCCATATTAAACGATACTGATCATGATGCTTTATATAATTTTATTCTTTCTGATGAAAGATCACTAAAATACATATTAAGTGGTAAAGTACTGAATCTTGAAACTGAATTGACTGATTGTCAAAAACATAATCCTTATGATCCAGAAGAAATTGATGAAATTGTTGATCACGTAATTATTTTTGGTGTACATTTTTATTTAGTAAAATGGAAAAATTGGTCTAAAGGTTTTTCTACATGGGAATGTTTTAATGAGATGCGTAATTTACAACATCTTTTGGGTGATAATGTAAAAGATAAAACAAATGATTCAAAACACTTAAAAGAAATAAATGGAATGCATATAATATTATCCAGGAGATTTGTTTCAAAGATGTTTAATTTATTTAGAACTAAAGATGGTCTAGCTTTGCCAACAATTTCTACTGAAGATCTATCTGGTTTATTTGATAGAATCAATATTGGTTCTGAAATGAAACAAATACCATTTAAACTAAACTTGAATTCATACTTGGGTGTAATTTCATTAAATTGTTTCCGGCATCTTCAATTACAGGAACTTAAACAGTGGGAGATCACTATAAATGTATTATCAAATAGTTATAATATCAAAGTAGAAAATAATAAGGATCTTGAAGGACCTCCTAATACCATTGTATATACCACTAGATATATTCATGGAGAAAATGTCAACATATCAAATGATCTGGCTATTGGTTGCAAGTGTACCTGTAAAAATTGCACAAAATGTTGTAATGATAAAATTGACAATTCCAGACCATGTATTTTTAAGGACTCTAGTTGCCCTGTTTTTGAATGCATTAAGAATTGCAAAAGTACAACTGACAATTATATTGATGTTGTACAGTTAAGTACTACTCTAAGTATTTCTATTTATAAGACAGAAAAATGTGGTTGGGGTGTCAAGGCTTCCCGATTCATCAGACAAGGAGAGTTTATTGCAATCTACACAGGGAAATTAATTACAGTAGAAGAATCTAAAACTAGATTAAAAGAAGATGCTTCTCTTTCAGAATACATGTGGAACTTAGACTTTGATAAACGTAATTATGATTATATTATTGATGGGTCAAAGTATGCCAACTTCACACATTTTATTAATCATTCATGCAAACCTAATTTACATTTTTGTACAGTATGGATAAATTATTTGGATAAATTTATACCACAATTGGCTCTATTTGCAAGCAGATGTATTTTTATTGGTAAACAGCTAACTGTAAATTATTTTTTGGGGAGCAATGAAAATAAAATTATGAAAAAAACTGGCATTAGATGTCAATGTAATAAGAAGAGTTGTAAAGGCTACTATTTTTAATAGTTCAATTATTTTCATCATTTAATACCTATTCATATTATAGATTCTGAGCAGAGGGAGGATTATATTGGTTTTATAATGATGTTTATTTATTTATTTATTTTTTAGTTTTTGTGAACACTACTAGAAAGCTTACTCCGGTTATCAAGTATAGCACTTTTTCTGAAAATAAATGTTTTTGGGGTGGTAGTTTAGAAAGATCACTTTTTGAAATTCTTATTAATATTCAAAATAATGAGGAAAACCTGGTTCTTTAGGAAAATGAGGTTGTCATTGGCAACTAGTTTTATTTATTTTTTGTAAATCTTTTTTAAACAATCATATTGCTGTCATGGAACAGCACATAGTTGTAATCATTTTATCATAATATAACATATTTTTGACAAAGCAACACTTTCAATTGAACTCTGCTCAGAATCCTTTTTCATTAGCAATAGTTTATCATTGCTCACAAATATACATTAAATTCCCATCAGTATCCTACCTTCCCAACTTCCCACTTACAACAGTGGCTGCACCCACATGCAAAATATGTCAAAAATTTTTTTTTTTTAGAATATTAATACAAATAATCATTTTTAAAAATTTTGATTTTTCTTTCTATTTGTATTCATGATGGTGTATTAATAGACAATATGAGGAATTTTAAATAACATATATATTTTTTTGAATAGTTTACATATAATATAGTATAGTATAGTATAGTATAGTATAGTATAGTATAGTATAGTTATTAGTATTCTAGTTTTTTTATATAGTATTTGAGTGAAAATGTATTTTCAGAAAAATATTATTTTTAAAGAATAATACAATTTATTAATACAGCTTTTATTAAATTAAAAAATGCTGAAACTATAATTTTGAGAAATTATTATTAATTATCGAAACTTTTACCAACAAACTAAAAGTCTTAAAATTATTTCAGGCATGATAAGCAACATTATTTATTTATTTTTCCTGTTTTTAACAATTTCAAACATCAAATGAATCAGTGTTTGGTTTATGGGTTATTTGATAATAAAATAATTTAACAATAATAATTAATAGCTAGCCAAATTAAATAAGAATATTAAATCAGTGCTCTGATATCTATATTATAACTGGACTGAATAGCAAACTATGAATACATGGCTGTCACTTGATAATAGTCAATTTTCCTAAATAATAAATACTAGTAGTGAAAAGTAGCATTTCTATATTATATTTTATTAATAAGTATTTTCGGTAATTTATGACGTATTTCTCAAAAATATTATTTTTTTAACTATTATATATTTAGATTTAAAGGTTTGTAATATATCAATTTATATAGAGAGGCCACATTTTTACTATAAAAGACTACTGGTTTTATTACGTAGTTAAAGTTAATTTATATTTGATAATTAATATTTAATGTCTTAGTAATAATATATGTGACAACTCTGCTATTTATTCAAAAAAAGATTAATTTTGTATAAAACATATTTCAATATGTCTAAGCTTTAATATAGCATTCCTCATGTTCAGTTTGATACTTACATTATATTTCATATTAGTGTATTGTTATTTTAAAAATGATATATTACATTGTATATTTAATTTATATGTTAAGATAATAAATTACCTACATTATAATAGTACATACTTTTTTTTTTTCAAACTGCCAAAAAACTTATTACAACAATCAAAGATCTTTAGAAATACATTAAAAAGATGTACAAGAAAACTGGTGTATTGATGTTCAAAAATAATTCTTTTGTTTTTAGTACATACCTGTAACTTTTTTATTTATTAGTCAAGACAATAAGAGGCTGAAAAGATGTCTAGATTTTACTGGATAAATTTTAAAAAATAAAATAAAATTTGACTGGATTTATTGTTTAGGTACATAAATGTTAACATTATTTAAGAAACCCAGTAGTAAATAAAATATTTTTCAATGTCAATAGTTTTTGAAAAATTATAACATATATGTGATTAATATATATTAATTTATGCAGTGATATATATTTATTTTTAATTGAGTTAAACTATTCCATAGGTAAATAATTTAGCATCAATATTATTGGTACATCAACAATTTCAATAAAGAAATGACATCACCTGGAGTAAATGCGCAGTGAAAATGAATGTGATTATCTTACAAATGCTTGTTTATTTGGCCATGGGTGAGATAATTATCTATGTAGATAAAACTAAAATATACAAAAAGAATCCAGTTTTTAAGTAAATAACAATGTTAAATAATTTATATAGATAATTGAATTATTTATCTAGATCATGGGGTGAGCAATTAGTTCCAAAGGGAAGCCGGATAATTTGAAGCTATAATAAAGTACAACCACTATTTAGTGTTCTTATTTAATTATTTTATAAAATAAAATAAATATACAATTTTATAATACACCAAATATATCAAATACATCTACACAAACAAATAATGAAAACAAAAAACCAGTGTTAAAGTAAAAAAAAATGGTGGTCTATTTATGTCCTCTCTACGAGCCGTCTCTAATTGCCTACCCATAATCTGGATGGTATAAAATATAAAAATCTACCTATCTGATACTTACAATTATGTGTGTAGTATGTACTGACTTGTAATTAAAGGGTTGTTCTGGGTGTTCTCCAATATTTAAAAATATTTGAATTGATTTACATTTAAACACTTACCTCTGATTAGACTTTTCCACAGTTTAATAGTAATTTAAAGGAAAGAGGTATATATAGTATAGACGTGACTGTGTATTTGATTTGTACACTAAGATTGTTTTATAAAAAAAACGAATCCGTTTTTTCGTTAATTTGCTCCACGAGTATAACAATATTATTTTATTATAACTATAGTGTATAATATAAATTCTTAGTCTACCCACATTATTAATAATGTATACAAAAAATATAACCACTAGGCTATAATTCTTATGAATATGGTCAAAACACTACGAGGGTGTCTTGTATGTGTAGATATCCGAAGATTGCAAAAAAAAAAAAAAAAAAAGACCCTATTATCTATGCATTAAAATATCGTACATATTTTATATTATTCAACTTATGTATGGGTGTATTTTATTTGTATGCTTTGAAAAACCTCGATTGCTGGATTACAGGTTTATAACCTGTTCCAGTTTTTCTTCCATCGTAAATATAATTAAGTACGGTTAAAAATGTTGATTTTATTTTTTAAATAAAATGAGTAAAACTTGTGGAGAGTAATAAAAATAAATTATCAGTATTAAAATACAAAACTGTATAGTATTTAAAATTTAAATTCAATCATATGTGCTGTGGAACCACAGCTCTCATTGACATTTGACAATACTGAGCCAAGGCTCAGTCCCCAAAGGCCTTACTGATGAAAAATATCTTCAGTAGTTTTTCGCATCTGTAACAACACCGCAGGTAATCGCCTACATTTGGTGAGCAACATTATCAAGAGACTCGTTGGTGGATATGTTATCTATATTGTATGAGTTATTGTTTGAAAAGTTGTACACTGAATGTGCCGACATTTATATAATTCCTACTTCCTATATTCATTCTGGAAATATAAATGAAAATACAAAATGTCTATTACTTTTGGATAAAAAAAATAGGTAACACTTTTTTAAATTGTTATTTTGTTTTAAATAATTATGGTTAAATTTCAGTAATTTCGCTTTTGTTTAATAATTTCACAATAAAATTTAAAGATGTATAATTTTTTCAAATTTACTTTTTATTAAAATTCTGATTGAATATAGTAGTTAAATATAGATACCTAGACTTTTTTTATTTAAAATTTTGTTTTACCTATTTATTTATATTCGGTACAATTATTAGTGTGAGCAAGCTATTTTTTTATTTTTCTCATTGTTCATTAGATATTAATAGGATTTAATATGTCAATTACACAACCAAACTATTAAATTAAGCAGTTAAAGAGATTGAAAGTGGCGATTTTCCATCATTGTCTTGCAACATAAGAATTTAGACATGTTTTATTTCCAAAGTGCCAATTGATATACTTAAGCAATAAGAATTTTGAAAAAAAAATTAGTTTAATTGATATCAACTTTTGTACTTTTTAGCTTTACATTTAATTATGACAATTTAACAATTAAGTGGGTTGGGTAGGATGGGTAGCCCGCTGGAAATTATTTTTAAAAAAGTCACATGAAAAATTTTGTAAATATCTTGAGTCATCAACACACAAAGGTTGAGAACCAGTATTCTAGATCATCGTCATCATTCTCTGCACAAAATTATAAGAATTTCTATTCAGAAATTAATTATGAAACACTAAATAGTTGAAAAATTCTTTCTTTGTTAAATATATGAGACTTAATCTAACTAGATAGTTAGTACTAAAATAACAAGGGCATATTAATGCAAAATTTTTAAATAAATTAAGTATAGGTACCCACAAATATTATAATATTATTTTATGAGCGTATTCATAAAACTATTAACTTTTCCTTAGTCTTTATAGCTTCTCGAAATTGTGTATATTGTTTGTGATTTGTCATTCGATCTCAGATAACTGAATATAAAATTGATGTTAAAACACTCTAAAATATTTGTAAAATAATGTTTATTTTTCTTCCAAATCATTAAATAATACATAATATTCCCCAATTACTTTTTTTTAATTAATATTTTTCATACTTAAGTATTTCTATGTCGTTGATTGCTGTTTTTTTTCCGTCCAAAATTATGGCCAGTATTTTCTTATTTTATTTTTCATGGCAAAATATGTATTATATTGTTAAAAATTTATTATTCGGTACTTATTCAATAATCAATATGATATCTAACACACGTTTGGTGGTTTAGTACCTATATTATCTATTGTATGTATACCTTTATACACTTTATCATTTTGAAATTACTAAAATTAAGCTTCTACCAAATATTATTATATCTTTCAATAATTAATCATTTTGAAATTAAAATTAGGTTTTTACAACAAAAATTAAATTAGTCTGTTTTTATAAGTCATATCTTTATAATTGGGTAACATAAAAAATACATCCCGCTTCGTCGTTCCTCGGTAAATATTTTAATAAGAATTTATACTAGGTTAGTGACATTTAGATCTCAGGGCAATATGGTCCCGTGTCATATATATTAAGTCCACGACGTTTTTAGATCTCAGCCATACGCAGACATATGAATACATTTATTAGATATTGGAGGCATTTTCAAAATTTTGTATTTATCCATATTACTTACATTTTGTATTATAGGTAGGCATAATTATTTTAAATTATCTACCTATCTACCTACCTACCTACTTATCTATTATGCTGGCTATTACCATTAAGCTATCTCAGTTTGTGGTTTAAAAACACAAATTTAATTAGTTCCCTACCTTTTTACATAAATTCGAAAAGAGAATATTTTTCTAAACAATTGGATATACATAAAATTATTATACAATTTACTATTTGAGATATTATTCTTCTAACTTAATGGCTATATAATACATTGTGACACTTAAATGACACTTAATTATTGTGGAGGAGTATATTATTTGAAAGTTCAAAAAATAGTCACCTATATAATATCTACGATATACCGGCTCTTATGATAATTATATAATAAACTGATAACATTCGGATGTCTGGACTTTTAGACTAAGACACAATTATTTTATCCCAAGACAACTAGATCCACCGTTACCAAAGGTATGGTTGGGATTTAAATGATCAGGGTCCTATTTGTTCATACACCGTATAACTGTGGTTAATTAATTATTATTATTTCATAAGTTTTAGAGTCTCAACTCCAGGAAGTGGTAACATTTCTTACGTAAAATTTGTTCGGATCATTCCTTAGAAGTTTAAGAAATACACATATATATATATATATACCCTACAAACTACTAATGAAAAAAGTTGATAAAATAGAACAATTCTTAGTTTTAGATAGCATATTAAACTAACCACAGGTATAAATATCTATGTTTTGTGAAACCAACATAAAATTATGGTAGATGGCATTTAATTTAGAAACAAAAAACAAATGGTAAAAAAAGATTTCACCTATAAATTTCACATTTTACTAGATAACACACTGACAAAAAAAAAAAATTAGATTATGGTATTATTTCCTTGGCTTTTAGTATGAATAGATAACAAATTTGTCGTGCGTTGCTGATCTGTGATGTGACATTTCGGATAATGTAAATCGACCTTTATAATATACATAAAATACATATACAAGGATTTAGGTCATTGATGTAAAGGATGTAAGAAAGAACCTTCTACGCCCTTAATACAAGAATATTCGGTATTTGATAAGTTGAATAAACTAATATATATATATTATATTTATAAGAATATATCTTGTATGGAAATAATAGGTTTTAGTTTGTTTATGATTGTTCGTGTTATCAGCTAGCTGATAAGATATTAAGGTCAGATGATCGTAATACCTTAGTTTAACAACCAAAAAGGTCCAAGTAGCGAATACTTTTGTAGTACAAAACTACAAAACACTGTTTTATCATATTATTACTCGATAGACAAAAACGAAAAATGCATATTTTTCAATTTTAATTCATTAGGATCACTAGTTTTGGGTAATATTAGCAAATAATTTAAGCAGTCTAGTTAGGTCAGTTAAAACGGTTGGGTTCATTTGGCTAAGGGAGAACGTAGAGCAGTTTTTTTTTTTTATTGTATGACAATTTATAGTCCACCACATGAAAAGTGGACCGTGATGAAATTAGCCGCAGTTTGGAGTCATCGGTTTCAGACAATAGATGTTACACAAGTGATACGTTGATACGTTCAGAGCGTTGCTGCAATAACCGGTTTAGTTTGAGAACCCGTGGCTAACGGGCTGGGTATGCCGCGATTTTAATTCTTGTGCGTGGGTCGCGCTGCTACCCGTACACGTGTTCGTCTTTATAGTTGGTAACCCTGCGGGACTGGAATCGTATTGTATTGTGTGATTCTTCAGTGGTTTTAGTTTTGTTAAATGTTCCTTGTTCCTCAGCTATCACCGGCCCATCATCGTATGGTATTTATGTGAACATTGTAAACGGAGTTTGCTATTGTGTTTTGTCAATTCAATTGTTGTGAAAAAGTTGGCGCTAATCATCGTGGTATTGTTTTGTATACACGAGTTTCACATTACTTTACAGGTATTTTTTTTTTTTTTTGTATTTTTGATATTAAAAGGGCCGTTGTTACAATGCCCCGTTAGCACTTGCTGGTAATAAAATGTGTTACAATTACAATACAGTTAGCAATTACCAACATTTTATTTGATAGTGTAACACGGTTTTTATATAAACCCTTTTCCAACTAGTATTAGCGATAGTTATGTAGGTACTTAAATATTTTAATGTTGTGATAGCGCTAGGTCAACTAAAAACTATTGAAATTGTAATTTTTGTTGTTTCCAACAATATAATGACAGCGTGAGATATAGAATATTTGATATTTTTATTGTTATCCACGTATACTTTAAATTAATCGTTATCGTTATTAGGGGCGTTGAATTAACATTATATTTTTCAGATTTGTACAATGATTTGTGTAAAAATAGTGCATCACTGAGTACCTACTCAATGTCTTTATTCATAATATGTTCCTCGTATATATTTAAGGCAGGATTGAAAGGTTTTCGATAACTACTGAATTCATAACAACCGATACACCGTACTTCTGTATGACAACGAATCTATAAGTATTAGTCCGTTTTCTAAACATTGATTCAGAAAATCTTACATCTCAGTTTTATCTGTCATTTGTATAATTACTTATACATACTACATTGTTCATTTGGATGACAAGAAGATATATATATATATTATTTGTAACATTATTATTATTATTATTATTAATTTTATACAGTGCGATTAGACGTTTATGTCTATTTCTAATTTGATATGCCTTCTACATACATTGTTTGTGAAGGCATTTCATATTAATATAATTTAACTGATTAATAATAAGATAAACTTATTTTTTTGATAATTCCAGCGGGGTGAGGAAAAGATCAGGACTGTCTATGGTAAAGTTCCAGAAATAGTGATCGAAGTTGGACTGCAAATAATTTAATAGAAGCACTCCTCATTTTCATCAATAATTTAATTTCTACGTTTAACCATAAGTTGAAGTTTGAAGGAATTGAGAAGTTATTAACTTCTCAATTTACATTGACATAATATGATGTTTGGTGATTTACTATCTTGTGTCAAAATTTTGAAAAATGAGAAAAACCTATAGAGCACATACCTATTTTCTCATATAAATATGCTAATTACAAAAAAGTGTAAAATCACAACATTACATTAAATGGTATTAACTAAAATTATGTGTGGATTTTATTAAATAATAATAATTATAAAATATATTAAAACTTTTTGTACATTTGGGCTACTTACATATTAAAATTGTTGATTATATTTGCAAAATTGTACTATATTTTGGTTGATGCTAAACAATTTTCTCGAGGTAACTAATATTAAAATAAATATTATGTGAAAGTGCACATCAAATATTGTGTTGAGGATTAAGGCAATTTCTGAATTCTGATTTAATGACAGATTATGCAGAAACCCAGCTTCAAATTGGTTTGTTGTTAATTTGGTAGTAAATAATTTTCAAATTCTTTTGACAAAATAAATTTATTTTGAACTGTGTCCAAAGTTAAATAGGATATTTAATAGAAACTTTAAAAAGATTTATTAACTAAAGGATTTACTGATTTCTACTTTTTGTTGTTCAAAATGTAATTTTTGCAAGTATTCTTGAAGAAGGAATCTTAAGTCATTTAATGTAATTCTTATTAAATCTTTTAAAATTCACTTTAACAAATCATTCATACTATCTGATTTAGATAGTATGAAATTCCAGAAAGTTGTTTTTCTCCTTATTGATATAAAATTCAATAATGCATATTGAACATGTTTTTTTTTTTTTTTAAATTTGAATAGTTGTCTCTAGATCTAGAATTAGATTAGATCCATTCCCTCAAATCTTATTTCTTGAGCAAATATGCTTTGACATGGACCTTGTTTTCGTATTTTTGTCTTGAGTCAGTCTAACCATATCTTCTTGGTATCAAGTTTTGATCTTCACATACAGCTTCTGAGACTAAAAGTTGAAAGTCTACAAGGTAATTTGTAAGAATGTACTTTTGGATACACAGTCATTAATTTACAACAAAAAATTCCAATAAATGTATAAATATTTTAAAAATACAAATTTTTTAACGTTTTCAACATTTTAAAAATGATGGTGATAAAAATTTCTTTGGAAATCATTAGTTTTGAAATTATAGCCGTTGAAGTGCAAGCAAGTGCAGCGAGCAAGTGACTCCTTTGGTCTCTAGGTGCACTGAAATTGCCAAAATGTATTTGTTTTTCTTATGTTACCTACCTGACATTGTTTTGCATAATAATTGAGAGGATTTTTTTCATTTAAAACAGTGAACAAAATGCATTTGACATGTTTGATTTTCTAAGAAATTTGAAGAAATTTTGGACTTTTTCATATTAAAGTAATCAATACATCTAAACTATATATTTTATAGTAGCATAGGATTGAATCCAACAAGTATATTTTGCTTATAAACCAGTATGAGTTTAATTATTATCAATTGTTTTAGAACATGGTACCATTTTGTAAGATGTTTCATTTCCAAAAAAAAACTTTTTCTCCTAACTGGTTTATTTACAACATAGTTACTGTTTTTTAGTCATACTATGAAATTACAGAAAATTATAGTATTTTATTTAAAAATATGCCTCTTCAAATTTTTTTTGATTCCTTTTCACTTGGCATTATTCTTGGAAATAAATACCTACCTTTTATAATTAATAATTTCTCAGTACCTATAGATGCAGTAATTTTAACAACCTTATGTCTACTTGAGTTCCACATGTGTTCTGTGGAGAACATATAAAAATCATAAATGAAACTAGAGTTTTCATTCAACATCACCACTTTATATCTCCATTTGTGGTGTTTTTGAGGTTGAAGATCTAGATTTTATAACTATTCATTTCATTTAATGTATTTTAATTTTGAAATATTATGCATATATGCAAATCATTGTCACTAGTGATTTCTAATATAAATCGTTTTATATAGCATTTATTTTTTTTGTTAAATATATAATATATGTGTTATTTTCATATTTCTGCATTTGTGTAAAATTATATTTTGTTTTAAATTTCAGAATGGAACATGTACTTCTCCCCTATAGAGGTACTGAATTTATTTCCAGTACTACAACTCATAATCCTGAAGAACAATTCTTTGTGGAAAAAATTCTTAAAAAAAATGTAATAGGCAACTATGTCTATTATTTTATAAAATGGAAAAACTATGATGATGATGAAAACACTTGGGAGTTGGGAAAAAATCTCCATTGTATGGAAATAATAAATGAATATGAAGAAAATTTAAAATCCCAGGAACAACCAAAAAGAGTTGATAACGTTGATATTGATAATAATATTGCCGATGAAGAAGATGATGTCAATGAGGCAGATGATATCAACGAAGAACCAGATGATGTCAATGAGGCAGATGATATCAACGAAGAACCAGATGATGTCAATGAGGCAGATGATGCCAACGAAGAACCAGATGATGTCAATGAGGCAGATGATATCAACGAAGAAGCAGATGATATCAACGAAGAAGCAGATGATATCAACGAAGAAGCAGATGATAACAACGAAGAATCAGATGATTTCAGTGAAGATTCAGATGATATCGACGAAGAAGCAGATGATGATGATGAATATGAAGATGTCGAAGAAGAAGAGGAAGAGGAAGTAGAGGAAATAAAAAGTGATGAAGATGATGTACTAATAGAATACAATGGGTATTGTAAGCATGATATGATAGAAATTGTTGGTACAACTTTCATAGATGATGAGTTGACATTTTTGATAAAATTAAGAAATGATACGATTATACTCTTTCCTGCTAATGTAGCCAATAAACTGTGTCCCCAAATGGTCATAAGGTTTTATGAACCAAACTTTATCTATAATCACCCAAAATTCAGAAACAGACACAGATGAATATACTGATGATAATTAACTTTTGTGAACCAATTGTAACTATTTTATTTTACATCATGAAACAACAAATTAAGTTAACTAAATGTAAATTATAATTGTTCAATTCAAAAGTGTTTACATTGTTAATAAAAATTATGGTATTATTTATTACTATTATTAGTATTTATTAATGCTTAAGTTATGATTTTCAATAATTTTAGAACCGGATACTCACATTAATAAAACGAAAAAACACGAAAATATCAAATATCTAAAAATAGGTAGAATGTTTTGAAAATTTTACCAAGTCCAATATAAGTATTTTGTAATAACTACAGGTCTCTACAATAATTTGTAACCAAATGAAAAAAAAAAAAATTATAAAAAATATAATCTTAACAATATTAAATAATGAAATAATTATGAAAACTACTTTAAATACTAAAAGTCTAACATCTCTATCAGTGGCTATATATTTAAATGAACAAAATCAATCTTTTGTCATTTTCATTGGGGTAATATTTCTGGTAGAAAATATTATGTATACAAATTTAAAATAATGAAATCAATAACAGCGTGGTTATAATATTTCCCGTTTTACCTACAATTTTCTTTGTGGTTTTCCTAATTATTTTGAAAATCTCTTAGAAATCAAAAAATAACCTCTCTGTTGTACCGACTAGATAAAATATCTTTGCAGTAAAAATGCTTACTCTAAAAGTAATAATAATAATAAAACACATCATAGTAAAGTCAATATATCCTTCGCTACACTCCTAATTCTAAAAGACTATTACAACATAACATCACCCAGACAAGAAATGGGGTCATAGTTTCAACTTCCCTTTCTGAAATGTCAGACTATGATAATTTTTTTTTAAGTGAATAGAATATACTATTTGATACTGATATTTCTAGTAGAAAAATTGTTTACAGGTACAAAAAAAAATTATGTAACATTACTACATCATAGTCAAATCAATAAAACCTTTGCTATGCGAGGAGCTCTTGCTTTGACAGGGTAGCAGTTAGGTATTGAAGTGTTAAATATTATTGAAAGTATATGAACTGTAAACTAATACCAATTAATTGATTAACTTATCTTTATTATCTCCATCAAAATTAAATTTATCTACAAGTGGTCTACCAACTGATTCTTTAATACAATTAATTCAAAATAAAGTAAATTAGTTTATATATCTACTATTTGACAATAAATTATTACAAATGAAAAACGAACCAAACATTTCTGATCAAAATTCTATTAAATTTGTTTTTTGAAATTTAAATAGAAATTCTTCCATTCTTAATTGTGTATTCAAATAATTGTCATCTAATTGTGATAAACATTGTTCAAGTACCTACCTATTATTGTGTTCTGCATTTGTGTCATTAATAACTTTAATTGAAGACATTAAATTTACAAACCTAATTATTAGAATAAATGTTGAAATGAAAATAAAGTGGCAAAATATGTTATATCACTTGATATAAATATAGAATATCTGATTATAATTTAGAAACCTATTAAAAAAAAAAAAAAAAAACCAAAGAAAAATTGATGTGACATAATATATAATATGTGATACTTTTAGATAGCATAAATGATAAAATGTGTATTATTCAATGAATATTATATCTGAAGATACTATATTAAACCACAATAAAATATTTATCTAGATTTATATTAACAGATATATCAAACACTAGTAACTAGTTACATAAAGTTAGTTAAGTTATTATTAGTAACTACACTGCTGTAAGTTAAATTTTAGATTTTACTATCATGTGTATTTTTTTTTTTTTTTTATTGTTTGATTATCATTAACTTTAGAGTTTAACTGTCTCTTTGGTTAGTTTTTTATTTTCTTTATACGTATTATTCTTAATTATAGGCATAATCCTAGAAAAAATGCCAGGAAAACGTTTACAACTGTTACATTTACATAATAACAATTTCTGTTTATATTCTATTTTGTTAATTTAATAAAACTTAATCACAGAGGATAGACATTTCAGTGAATACTAATATATGCATTATGTATAGTCTCATACATACAACTCTTTTCAAACATAATACAATTTTCAAAACATTCTGATCATTTTTAGATATTAAAAGCTATTTAAAATGTTCGAGATTTTATTTGGTTCTTGTGACTCAAATTATTTCGGCCCAGCAAAATTGTTCGAACATTTATCACAAGGTTTATCATAAGTTGCAATTATTGGAACTGTTGGAAAAAACCAGTTCAATATAATGAAAGTAATTTTTTTTTATAGGTCAAATTTTAATAAATGTGCATTTAGATAAAAATGCTAACGATGTATATACTGTTCCATTAGTAGTAGCCCTGTTGTCCCTTTCCCCTTGTAGTTTAGGTACAACGTGCTCCGACGTCCCCTACTCCCATTTTTAGTATTTAATTTATTATTATTATTCCTTATTTAAGTTGTTTCATATAAAATCTTTGAAAACTATCTGTTTGAGTGTATGATTCTTATTGGCTGTGGAGCTGGGAAAACGGTCTTGGTTTTTAGAATACCAATGATACCAACAAATTGACCATTCCGGTTTAAACAGCTCCAATTTCCCGTAAAACTATGTTTTTCAATGACAATCAATATGGCACAAGGTCAAACATTAAATGTTGCAGGTTTAGACTTAACCGTCCAATGTTATTCCCATGATCAATTGTGCGTGGCTTTATCACGTGTCACACGCAAAAAAAATGTATTCGTGCTGGCCCCAAAAGGTGAAACATTTAACGTGGTGTATCCAGAAATATTTAATGCTTAAGGCAAATAGTAAAATTTTAAATTTTAAAATATATGCCATAAGAGATTACTTTTAGCCCACCCACTTTCCACCTATTTATTTTTATTCATTACTGACACGGTCAAAACCAAAAAGGAATATAGGTAAAAATAAATAAATACAAATTAGCATGGGCAAGGCTGGCCAGTACAGCTAGTAAATGCATATAATAAATATGTATATAATAATATATAGTATAATAAATGATGTGTACAAAAAATAAATACGCCGCTTTACAGTTATTATAAATATTGATAATTATTGGAAATATTATTGGAAGGAAACCAATCCAAATGTTTATTATTACTACGGTAAGTGGGGTATCTAGGTGGTGGATCGAACACACAGCCGCTATCGCTGGCGTTGGAGTGGTGTGCGGACGAGGGAACGCAACTCCGCACTACACGTGGCCGGGGGACGAGTGACGACGGCGTCTTTAAACGCTGACAAATATTTCAATAGGAACACGTTAAATCGTATTCGTGCCGTTTTAGTGTGAGTGCGTTCATTTCAGAAAAACCGTTCGTTTCGTTCGTTGGTTTTATCCACACATTCCTAAGGAATATTATACATTTTTTTGTTCCATATTAATTATTTAATGAATTACATACATTTTTAAACTAAATAAACATGCGTTTTTCCTCTTGTTCCAATAATAACCATTTCGCAAATGCACGCATATGCACGTACGAACGTTTCAAGCATACGATTCCGGGCCCTTCTTATAATATCCTTTGCGTTTAATGTTTGTACTGGAACGGTGCGTAAAATTAAATGAACATCGAATGTTAAATAGATATAATTTAAAAATTTTTGAACTGGATAATCAGGAGAATCGGCATATTCACTTATAGTGCATACACCGAATTCCATTGGTATTGGCCATTAGATCTGTATCGTTTTCCCAAGTAAACCGTCATCCCCCCCCCATGCTTTTAAGCGGCACGTCGGACTCGTTCCCTCCGTGTTATCGTATTACATTCCAAGACAGCCCAGCATGCGACTGCGGCAACGATAGACAAACCATAAATCACATTATAAAGGAATGCCAGCTAAGGAAATTCAACCAGGGCATCGAAGGAATCCACGGGATAACACCGGAAGCAGTATAGTGGATAAGGGAACTGGACATACACCCGTAAACTGTTACGCATTGTTATGTTATATTGTTATATTATATTATATATTTATAAAACCTTAACCTTTTCAATCTAAATTTAATCAAACTATGTTTTATGTTTATATTTTATTTTTACTGTTTAATTTTGCGGTAAATGATTTGTTAAGCCATACGAATAAATAAATAATCGTATTGCATTGTATCCGAGTCGAAGTTCGTTTTTCTCTGGAATTTCGGCCGGCCCATACAGATGTATCGTATAACAATATTACCTCATTACTTTTTGAAGGTCTTGGTTTGCATTTTGCAATTAACTCTATCGCCGAAGCCGCCAGACAACGGTGAGCCGGCTGCCGGGCCTATAAAATGGTGAACCGCACGCTCGGCCCCGACAGTCTGTGATTTTTATGCTCGGTGCGGTCGCACTCCACAATTATCTATAACTATCTTCTCACGCGTGATTCATCCGAGAACACGGTACATTTAACTTTTTTATACGTTTGGAAATTTCTTATTTTCGCTGTAATGTGTCTATATTCTGTTTCTACTTTTCTTGATTCTAGATTCTATACACCAAAAACAATATTTAAAGATTTCGATAAATTGGCATTTTATTTTTTAGGATAAAACCGATTACAAAGTTGACATACAAACACTTCAACAAACGCGTGCACCGTATTCATGATGGCATCATCTGGAGCAGTATTTGTTTTTCTTACTACCGTGGCCTGTGTTATTCTTGTTATTCCGGTCAAAAGTAAGTTGGTTTTTTTATTTATTTCGAATATTCGACGATTTTGAAACAGTTATTATTAATATTATCGTCAGTTATTAAAGCAGATTAATCTCTTGGTAAAAAAGTGCCCGAAAAGATCAAATATTTTTTACGACCGCTAGGTATTTACCAATTATTGCGAAATAAAATTTAGTTTTAGTACACGATTAATAACAGCTGCTATAAAAACGGTAATGATTTCAAAGGGAAGTGTCAACAAAATTATTATTATTATTTTTTTTTAACACGGCAATATAATAATATTTCTACTACTGCTACTAGGGTGTATAGGAGATGATATTAATTGTTAATTATAAATCGATTGTTTAGATTCTGTGAGCATATAATTTATACATTATATAAATGTACCGCAGTCAAAAATCAATTAAAAAACGCCATCCGGCGGTTAAATTACCGGTGGAATAATATATTGTGCATTTTTTTTGTCTACCGGTTTTCTCGTTTTTCTCGGAGGGGAAATATGGAGGGGAAATTTCGAATGCAATGATTAGTTTTTAAATTCGTTGTATCCGTGAAATATTATCAATAACTCATCAATAATATAAGACATTATGGTAAACGGTATAATATCGCTTATTATTTTGTCGAACTCGGAATCTGTGTGTATTATAATATTATAATATAGTTTATAAAGTTGGATTTATTATACGAATTTTGATTATCGTCGCTTTTTTATTAGATATTTTTTCTTACACGCGCATTCCTCCGAATTCCCGCCGCATTTTTTAAGANTTTAAGGACTCTAGTTGCCCTGTTTTTGAATGCATTAAGAATTGCAAAAGTACAACTGACAATTATATTGATGTTGTACAGTTAAGTACTACTCTAAGTATTTCTATTTATAAGACAGAAAAATGTGGTTGGGGTGTCAAGGCTTCCCGATTCATCAGACAAGGAGAGTTTATTGCAATCTACACAGGGAAATTAATTACAGTAGAAGAATCTAAAACTAGATTAAAAGAAGATGCTTCTCTTTCAGAATACATGTGGAACTTAGACTTTGATAAACGTAATTATGATTATATTATTGATGGGTCAAAGTATGCCAACTTCACACATTTTATTAATCATTCATGCAAACCTAATTTACATTTTTGTACAGTATGGATAAATTATTTGGATAAATTTATACCACAATTGGCTCTATTTGCAAGCAGATGTATTTTTATTGGTAAACAGCTAACTGTAAATTATTTTTTGGAGAGCAATGAAAATAAAATTATGAAAAAAACTGGCATTAGATGTCAATGTAATAAGAAGAGTTGTAAAGGCTACTATTTTTAATAGTTCAATTATTTTCATCATTTAATACCTATTCATATTATAGATTCTGAGCAGAGGGAGGATTATATTGGTTTTATAATGATGTTTATTTATTTATTTATTTTTTAGTTTTTGTGAACACTACTAGAAAGCTTACTCCGGTTATCAAGTATAGCACTTTTTCTGAAAATAAATGTTTTTGGGGTGGTAGTTTAGAAAGATCACTTTTTGAAATTCTCATTAATATTCAAAATAATGAGGAAAACCTGGTTCTTTAGGAAAATGAGGTTGTCATTGGCAACTAGTTTTATTTATTTTTTGTAAATCTTTTTTAAACAATCATATTGCTGTCATGGAACAGCACATAGTTGTAATCATTTTATCATAATATAACATATTTTTGACAAAGCAACACTTTCAATTGAACTCTGCTCAGAATCCTTTTTCATTAGCAATAGTTTATCATTGCTCACAAATATACATTAAATTCCCATCAGTATCCTACCTTCCCAACTTCCCACTTACAACAGTGGCTGCACCCACATGCAAAATATGTCAAAAATTTTTTTTTTTTAGAATATTAATACAAATAATCATTTTTAAAAATTTTGATTTTTCTTTCTATTTGTATTCATGATGGTGTATTAATAGACAATATGAGGAATTTTAAATAACATATATATTTTTTTGAATAGTTTACATATAATATAGTATAGTATAGTATAGTATAGTTATTAGTATTCTAGTTTTTTTATATAGTATTTGAGTGAAAATGTATTTTCAGAAAAATATTATTTTTAAAGAATAATACAATTTATTAATACAGCTTTTATTAAATTAAAAAATGCTGAAACTATAATTTTGAGAAATTATTATTAATTATCGAAACTTTTACCAACAAACTAAAAGTCTTAAAATTATTTCAGGCATGATAAGCAACATTATTTATTTATTTTTCCTGTTTTTAACAATTTCAAACATCAAATGAATCAGTGTTTGGTTTATGGGTTATTTGATAATAAAATAATTTAACAATAATAATTAATAGCTAGCCAAATTAAATAAGAATATTAAATCAGTGCTCTGATATCTATATTATAACTGGACTGAATAGCAAACTATGAATACATGGCTGTCACTTGATAATAGTCAATTTTCCTAAATAATAAATACTAGTAGTGAAAAGTAGCATTTCTATATTATATTTTATTAATAAGTATTTTCGGTAATTTATGACGTATTTCTCAAAAATATTATTTTTTTAACTATTATATATTTAGATTTAAAGGTTTGTAATATATCAATTTATATAGAGAGGCCACATTTTTACTATAAAAGACTACTGGTTTTATTACGTAGTTAAAGTTAATTTATATTTGATAATTAATATTTAATGTCTTAGTAATAATATATGTGACAACTCTGCTATTTATTCAAAAAAAGATTAATTTTGTATAAAACATATTTCAATATGTCTAAGCTTTAATATAGCATTTCTCATGTTCAGTTTGATACTTACATTATATTTCATATTAGTGTATTGTTATTTTAAAAATGATATATTACATTGTATATTTAATTTATATGTTAAGATAATAAATTACCTACATTATAGTACATACTTTTTTTTTTTCAAACTGCCAAAAAACTTATTACAACAATCCCTCCCTCATCAACTCCCTCCCATCATTTACCTAGTCACCACTACTGTCTGCGGGTTTGTTATAATTTAATAATCGAATAAATAGGTACAAAGCTATAATCAAATAATATCATAGCACAAATCATAGTACATTAAAAACTCTATTTACGTCCTTGTTGAGATCTAAGCTTAAATACAATTCAGTAGTTTGGTCTCATTACCAAAATACGCAAATTCAATGTATTGAAAATTGTACATCTTTTAGATATATTTTAAAAATAGTAATATTTTCTATATATTATTTATTATAAGCTTTGTGATAGGTTAGTTGTTCTTCAGTACCGCATTATGTATTAATATCCAACTTCAGTCTTTTAATTTTAAATCAATTGTACGATTGCCATACAGCAATCATAAATCAAGATCATTTACAGTACCTTTATCATTTTTATAAATTATTATAACTTTCATGATTATAAGAACATAAACCCAGATAAATTATATTTTTAAGTCTTAATTAAAAAAATTGACATCAAAAAAGTCTAAATACAGGAAACTATAATTAGTATCAGATAAATTGGATGCTTTAGGTGCTGAACAATTTAAAATAATACCTACAAAAATGTGTATCATTTGAAACAAGCATTCAAGATACGTCTGTATTATTTGTTTGATCAAAATTGTGTTGTATAATTAAAAATATAGATAATTCAAGATTTATAAATTATTTCTAATTTTTGTTCAAGATTTCGACATTATCTAACGTTCAATGTTGTATAAATCCAAAGTTAAAGTTGTACAATTCAAAATTTTTGTTTATTAAAAATTAATCAGATCTCCCGGAATAATGATAAGAAATTTACAAGTTGATAACTCGTAGTCTGTGGAGTTTCGGCTAAAATACGGTCGGTTTAGTTGGTTAGGTTTTGTGATTTTACTTTCGGTTTACACTTGAACTACTCATTTCAAAATATTTTCTGTCTCGAATACTTAGATATTTTTACTTTTCAGATGAAGTCACTTTTGACTTAAATACGCTCGGTTGAAATAATTTCGGCTAAAACACGTTTTGTCTGTTTTATTGTGGACTTTTTTATAGCCTCCCACTTGTAATGTCAACACGTTAACACGTCACACACATATTTATAACAATATTCTATATTATTGTATCTTATTATTATTAAATCTACATTGTATTTATATGATACTGAATAATGTAGTATTTTTTGTTAATTATTTAAACTAAAAAAGTAATTTATTCACAGCCAAGTGTATAACAATGTATACCACAGGCCACTTTTTTGTAGTGTCGTCAGTATGTAACACGAATTCATGGACCTTCGTTATGCAGCTATATCTCTCATGGTAAACTTAAGTTTATTATATCATCATACCTTTGACAGTTCTCGGACAACTGCAACGCGTTCATGTGTCGTTTTATATTTACAGACAAGATGATTTTTATTATTGTTATTTTTTATACAGTCAACTTATTCACTGGAATCTGGAGTTCACACGCAGTTTGGTACGTTATATAAAATTATTTTTATCTATAAGGATACAGTTTTTAATTTTTAATTTTTTGAAGTCATCTTCAACCAACCATTATTATATATAATAGGTATATGAATAAATAGATTATAAAAAGTAAAAATTAAAAATAGGTATAAATAGATACCTACCTGTTAATTTATGGAGAAAATGGACCATCAAATAAACACTAAGTACACACCATACTGCATAATACAGTGCTATGTTTTATATAATATTGCACAGATCATAAATTATATAATGGCAGATATGATAAACTTAACTGTGGGTTTTTCTACAGTTAACTGATGTTAGCCACAAGAAATATAGGTTTAATATTAAGTCAGAAATTTAAAATTCTTAGGATTATTATAACATATTTCCTTGAACATTTTGTTTATCTCACCAAATGTTATCATTTTTTGAAGTTTGCAGTAAATTTTCATCAATGGGCTCTGCACAGACCTCATCCCAGAGTTGTTAAAAAGAGACAACACTCAACAGGCGCACTTTCCATCACCAGTAAAGAGGCCACATATCCAAAGAACCTATTATAAAATTACTTTCAGTAAGTTAGTTATAAATATAATATATTTTCATTCAGTAGTTCTAAGTTTTTTGTTGATCTTTGTAAAAATATAGTATAATTAGTACCTATACTATATAGTTTTTGAAACATTTTAAAAGTGTAAATAGTAAATTCAATAATTTTTAACACAATATAATATGATATAAACTTTTAAATTGTAGGATTTAATAATATTTATTAAAACGATAACATAATTATCAACATTAGCTCAATATCATCTATATATGTAGCTTATAGAAATAATTTCAATTTAAATACTACTAAAAAAATGCATACATGTATTAAAGAAAAAATAATACACAACTCACTAAATAATGTTGTAAACTATTGTAGTATGAAATATTAAAATAATATGTTTAAGAATTCGCTAAAATTCTGAACAATAATGCAAATAATGTAAAAATCGCTTTTAAGATTAATAATAATTTAATTAAACGTATAAACAATAGAACTATAAACATCACAACAAATCTCTGTAAACAGTTTTTATATAGGTAAGACAAATAGAAATTTTAAAATAAGATGTAAAGAACACATTTCTGAAAAAAAATTTAAAAAGACAGCCCCTAATTTCAATTTTGCTAACGTGTTTTAGAAAATAACCATAATATAAGTTTTTATATTAATACCGACTTAATAACATTAAATACCCAAAATAACATTTTCATTAATTCAGTTTTAGAAGAATTACACATACACAATGAAATAAAGAAAACTTATTTTAATCATATTTTAAATGTTCAAACCGATTTTAAAAATAATATCTCATATCAATACATTTTAGATAATAAATAATAATCAAGTAATTTATATTTCTTAACATATCTATGTCTAATTTTAAATGATCTCTCCTAAAAAAAAAAAAAAAAAATATTTTTATATTCTATGTAAAACAACAAATTTGTATATTTTTTTCTCTATGTATTCTTTAAATTTTTTATGTTCAGTCGCATTTTACATTTTGACTATTATATGCCTGATAATAAATTTTTAATTCGAAACCGGTTGTATAATATACACTTATTATAATACTCCACGCAATGCATTTATTCATTTATTTATTTTTTATTTATATATTTATATACTATATTTAATAATATTAGTAAATTCACAATATTATTTAAAAATCCCCCATTAAAAAATATATACAAACCATAACAGTTTGTCTACATATTTTTGATTATTTAGATGATGATATTGTTGGAAACACTCAATCGATATTTTTTAAAGTTTCAAACAAGATGCAATTCTAATGCTCTATATTCACTGGTTAAATGAAGAATGTATGCGAGTTATTAAAAATGTATTCCTTAATAATTTTATAATTTAATTATAGGTCATGCAAATGTTAAATATCTTAACCTTGGATCAGACTAAAATATGATGGATTTACACTATCAAATTAACAACAGTATCATTTTGTGGACAATCAAACATTGAAATTATGGTAAGTAATAAAATTAACTTTGAAAAATTTATAATAGGGTAATGCCAATCTGTAACTCTTATTAATAATTACATTTATTTTTTATATATATACAAACGACCAACTGATCACTCCAGGTGCCAGACATTTCGTCTATGATAAAGCAGATGATACAGCGATAACAGTTCAAGATAGCAACTTTAAAGGAGTAGAATCTAAATTGGAGTCCTCACTTAAAACATACTATAAAAGCATTAAGCTGAAGCCTAACTCAATAAAGACTCAAGTTTGTGCGTTCCGTCTGAAAAACAGGCTAGCATCTAGAAAATTGGACATTACCTGGGAAGGAGTTAAGTTAGAATACACACCCTACCCTAAATACCTAAGTGCGTTAACCTTGATAGATCACTCAATTTTAAAGAACACTGTGTTGCCTTAATACGGAAAATATGAGCTGGAAACACTATTGTGAAAATTGGTTAGTTCAAAGTGGGGCTCATCCTGTCACAGTTAGAATCTCTGCACTAGCTCTATGTTTTTCGGTGGCTGATTATGTAGGGCAGATCAACTCAAACTAAATAAATTGATTCTGGGTTAAATAAACCGGTATGCATTATAACAGGATGCTTAAAACCAACACCAGTAGACAAACTATATCCTCTAGCAGGAATAGCATAAACACATATACGTAGACAAATTGCTAGTGACATAGAATAAACGAAACAGATTACGGATGTAAGACACCCGATGTATAACCCACAAATAGAATGTTTCCAACTAAAATCAAAAAAGAGCTTTCTAAAATGTATGAAGATATTAGAAGAAAACCCACAGACAACAAGATTGAAATTATGGGAGGTAGAAAGCAGGCAAATAGAAGTTACCCCCAGGATATGACAATAAATGGACGATATGGAGGACACTAAACCGTTTACCTACAGGAGTTGGACAGTCGAAGGGGAATGTAAAAAAAATGGGGAATCAGCGATGAGAAGGAAGACACGAGCTGTGTATGCGGAGAGGCCCAGACAATGTCGCACCTACTAAATTGCAACGAATGCCCAGTAAAATGTGACGTGACAGACTTACAAGCTGCAAATAACAAGGCTATAAAGCTGGCAGAATTTTGGAGCGTCGAAATTTAAAAATACAATTTCATATTTTACCTTTAGAATCATCCACTGTTACTATTATTATTATTATCATTATCTTCTTAGTAAATTAATTCATATTTTATCTTATTTTATTTTATATATCTGTTTTAGTAATCTACCTGTTGACTTTTTTGATTTGATGTTATTATTTTATTTATATGTTAGTCAATTTTTAATTTACTGTTAATTACCAGTAAAATGACTGGTCACCCCACTTAAAAAAAAAAAAAAATTAAATTAAGCAATTTATAATTTGGTATTTCCGACTCTTTTGTAATAAAATAATAAAATAATATAGCTATTATACGATTACAGTAAATAATATAATCAAGTACACCTTGATTTTTGCATAACCGTTGGTATATAGAATGATTTTTTTATCATGTACCATCAATCATTTAGAAGATTTTAAGAGAATTTGATTTCTGTTTTTTTTTTTTTTTAAGTTAGTACAGAATCGGTTAAGCTTTATTTTAATACCATTTTGAATTTTATCCCTACTCCATATGATTTAAATAAGTATTTACTTTTGTTTTACAAATAGGAACCCCACTTTTTGAACATAGATTAGAATAGAGAATAATTTTGTAGACATTTTTATGTGCCTAACACACCAGATCATTGGGATAGATAAACAATACTAATGTTTCATGTATCGTTTATAGATCGAAGGATTAGAGAAGAGTTAATAATTTATTATTTAAAAATATATATGCGATCTATTACCCTTAACTATTTCTTGGGTCTAATCTTTAAATGGTAACTTATAACTGAAACAATAAATTTATTGTCAAAAACAGGTAGGTACTAATCAAAAGGAACTAAAGGGAAAACTGAGCTGACCTCACTGTGTACTTTAACCATGATTAAAGATTAAAGCACCTTTAAAGGTTTTATTACAGATATTTTTGAGCAAATTTGCAAAGGGCAAAAGTTTTAAATGTTTGAAACATTTGTACAATTGAAATTCAGCTGTCACGTTTTGACTGTTCTACTTCTAACCATATGCGACCTGATGATAAAAATGTCTTACTAAATACTAATCCTATGTTTAGTGTTCACTTTTTTGTTTAAAATTATCTACCTTTTGCGTCATAATTTCATCGGTCTAATAACTTAGAAAATAATACAATATCAAGATTTACAAATTCATTATTATAGAAATTAGGTACTACATAATCATTATTGCTAGTCAAGAAAAACGTCCTCTGTCTTTGATGCTATGCGCATTGGATACAAATATATTTTTCTGAATCACGATTATGAGTTTACAAAAATCCAGTCTAATAGTATAGGGTCTATGATTGTCTATTATGTTTTGAAATAACTATTCATTTGCAATATTCGTACTTCCGTCAATTTATTTGATATAAATTTATAAATATTAACTAAATTAAAAATTCACTGGGATGTACGTATAAAACATCCAAGACTCTAATATGACTTGTGTGTTGAATAAAGTAATTTATATTTTTCTGTTATTCAGGAGTAATTAAAAACATTGGAGATATATTGGAAATTGTGAATACAGTACTAACTACTTAATTCAATACACAAGTTATATTAATTTATATTAAATTCGTTTTAAATTATTCTTGAATAACAGAACTACAGGGCTTAAATAACAAAACGTAAATATTAAAGAATTTACTATTTGTTAATGAATAATGATACTAATGATTATTAATCGATCATTCTTGGTATTTTAAACATTTTCACTTTCCCGCCATTTATCAAAAGATTCAAGGTTAAGATATTGAAAACATTTCGATACGCGCACTCTTCATGGTACGAGTAGTTACGATCGATTCGATTATTTTGTTCCATGAAAAAATTTGGCTTGGTTTGAAACACGTGGTTTGGAAGCAACAGTGCTACACCCCCTTCCACCAAATTGAATTGTTATTATGTTATTAATTCACCCTGGATCCCTGTGACGCCAAACCTCATGTAAGACCGTGCACTGACGCTTAATAATTTGTATTTGTTTTGTTCACATTTTTGTTGCGTGTTTTGTGTTTTAGTAAAAAAAAGTAGATGATTATATCTAATTCGTTTATATTATATCTTTTCGTGCATAATATTACATAAAGTTTTAACATTGCGAGTTTGTGCTACCTACCGTTGTTCTTTTTTTCTTCAACTCGTTGCACCTACATATTTTATAGGTATAACCTGTAAATATAAAAATCTCAAGCCCAGACTTAAAAGATTCAAGGTATTTATGCCATTTAATGATATTAAATTTTTAGTTTTCGATAATACTATTTTTTGAGCTGTTTTTTGGTTATGTATTTGAATATATCAGATTAGTCACCAAAATCTACTATCATTGAGTACCTCATATTATTGGAAGTAATTTTATGATTAAACATGGATAACAAAGAATGAGTGAAATAGATTTGCGAGTGCTTAGGTGAGGAAATGGAGTTAGTAGAGAAGACAGCATAAAGAGCGAGTACAGAAGAGGTAGCTTTAACAGTGATCTAAATGAGAAAAAATAGACCTACAAATATAATACGGTACATTACAACTTTATTTATTAATTATTTACTTTAATGTTATACTGACAATAGATTAGGTGTAACTAAATGCTGATTTATAAAATAAAATTATAATATATATACGTGATAGATTAATACAAGATATTTATTATTTTTTAATAAGTGGATAATAACTAAATCTACTTTATATTAATTATGATTAATTTTTAAAGATGACATAGTATTTAAAGTTTAAAATCTGCTTTCTTTTATTTTACCAACTTTTGTTCAACTTATTAAATCAAGTTCTCAGTGTAATTATAATTTAAATGTGTTGCCGTATGTTAAGTATGAAATCAGCGAATGTGATAATTCACTTATTCGTTGATAAATAACCATAAATATATAACCTTCTAAACATTGTAGATCAAGGTGGAAAAGATAAAAATGTAATTCTTATGATGTATAAAATGGAATGAACATAAATACCTACATCAGGTAACTATGTAGGTTATTCTGTACTGACAACAGTATTAAACAATATACAATTGGTTACTGTTTCAATTTGTCAAGCTCACTGTTAAAAAAGAAACAAGTTTAATACAGCAGCTGTCTATCATAGGTATATAATTAATAAAATAATACGTTAAGTGTATTTAAGTACAAATATGATGTACAATTTATAAAATTAATAATATTATTTTTTTAATGTGTTGAACAAAACTATAACATCAAAAATTAAGCAGTAAGCACAAGTTTCTAATTTCAAATTCACAAAGAATTTCCCAAGCTGGTTCACATCAGGGGGTACATTTTTGAATTTTATATTAGTGTACCAATCATATTAGTATACTAAAATATAACGCTTTAGTTCAACTATTAGTGCAAGGTCAATAAACTGCATTTTTGAATAATTATAGACTAAAACTTTTTTATTAGTGTACTAAAATTCTAGACCATACAATTGTTAAATATTTTTAATTTATTTATTAAATTATAAAAATATGGAACATTTGTTAAAGTTGAATTATTTTCAAGTTGTAAATAATTTAAAAATTGTTTATTAAGCAACAATACCAACATTAGAATTAATAATGATATAAAATAAAATAGGATGTCAAGGGGACAACCCCCTCCTGGCACCCTTTACAATTAAAACATCCATGTGCTTATCAAAGGCCGGTGAGTGAGGAGAGATAAATAAAGATCTATTATAATATATTTAGGTAAATGACTTGTATAAGCCAAAGTTATATCGAGTATGTATTACATGATATAATTTAAAAATATTAAAAAGTTGTAATGTATTTCAAGTACTTATGGGGTGAAAGTCGGATGAACATTGTTTGGAAGTTATGAGGGAAAACTTTATGAAGTTCAGGTTTTCCCTTTCACGCATTTCTTAGTGAGAATTTATCGTATCACTTTTATAGATATTGTACATTAACCTTAAAAAATAGCATTAAATCAAAATATGGTCATTTTTATTTATTGTTATTATGATTTGTATTTGTTGATCATAATTTTAAAATAGATCCATTGTTCTAACACCGGTGTTTAAAGATTTTTCATTTTTAGTAGGTACCTTGGAAAAATAATATATAATAAAATATAAAATAATTAAATATTAATATTGTTAGAATAATGAGAACTTTTGTATGTTATGTTTTTTTAGATCAATAAAACAAGAGGATTTCCAGAGTTGAATAAATTATGTTTAGTTTGATAAAGTTATCATATTTCGCATGCAATGATGAAGAGAAAGAATGGTACAACACTGTACCAAATTGTATACAGAAAGTCGATTTGCATCTCTGTTGTGAATTTCTATTGAGTACACCCACAGAGAGAAAAAAAATAAATACACCAGATTTTACAGTTTGTGGTAGTGCTGCAGAACAGGGACACTTAGATTGTTTAATGTATGCCCACAACTTAGGATTGGAATGGGGCGCTCACACGTGCATGTTTGCAGCACAAAATGGTCATCTTAACACATTAAAATATGCTCACGAACAGGGTTGTCCGTGGGACGAGTTCACATGCAGATTTGCTGCTGCCCGTGGACATGTTAACACACTTAAGTATGCGCATGAACATGGATGTCCTTGGGACAAGGGAGTTTGTGATATGGCATCTGAATATGGTCATCTTAACACATTAAAATATGCTCATGAACAGGGTTGCCCATGGGATGAGTTCACATGCAAAATAGCTGCTGCACGTGGAGATATTGACATACTTAAGTATGCTCATGAAAATGGATGTCCTTGGAGCATCCGTACTTGTGAAGCGGCATCTGAATGTGGAAAAGTTGAAACTTTAAAATATGCCCATGAACAAGGTTGCCCTTGGAATGAAAACACTTGCAAATTTGCTGCTGCAAGTGGACATGTTAATACACTTAAGTATCTCCATGAAAATGGATGCCCATGGGACAGAGGTACTTGTGAAGTGGCTGCTAGGTCTGGGAATATTAACACACTGCGGTATGCTCATGAGAATGGATGTGAATGGACTACACATACAGTGGAAATGGCTTTAAAATCTGGGAATCTTGAGATTTTAAAGTATGTATTTGAAAATGGTTGCCCTAGGAATTTAAGTTCATTATCACTGCAGTACTTATGTGTTAGAAAACCTGCAATATTTAGATATGTTATGGAGAATCTTAATATGTAATATGGACATTTACATACCTTGTAATTTTTTAAAACATATTCTTTTTTTTTATATTTAAAGTCGATGTAGACACATAGCCATCTATGAAGTTTTTCGACTCATATTTAATTTTATTTATAGTTATTGGAAAAAATAAAAACTAAAGATAATTACATATTAAGTTTACATATACTTCATTTTTCAGTTTAATTTTTTTGTATTATAAAATAATTTTTTATTATTTTATATAAGTAGTAATTATTTTTTTTCACTTCAATGCAAAATGTATTTTAATTAAGATTAAAGATTATTTTAAAACTAAAATGTGTAATTTAATATTTATGTATGTAGATATATATTATTTTGTGTTTATTACGTGTAGGTGATGATAAATAACTCGGTAGGTCACTACCGATAAAAATTTATTTGTAGGTTACACATTGTAAAAATGTCCTAATGAGTGTGGTACTATCATAAGTAAAACCATTTGGTAAGTTAACATTTAATTTGTTTATCATAGAAAGCCACAAAATATACATTTCTCTAACAATATAGTTGTGACACAAAATATAAAATAAATAATTAATTAATTAATACATGATGAATTTTAAATTTGATTCGAAACTGGCCGTATAATACACTAATCATAATATTCCAGGTAATGCATTTATTAATTTATTTTTATATATACATTTATTTATGATTATTAACCGTTTTAATAATTTTGTTTTTACTTTATAATTTTATTATTTTTCCCCCATTAATATTGGCTGCTATGAGTCACAAACAAAAGATGAACTGGGTCGCATGTGGTCTAGTGGCCATAGTGTTTTTAACATGCCTGATTTACATAATGACTTGATAAATAATATGCAAGTAGTTTTAAACTAGTGATAATTGGTTTAAGCTTTAATACTAGGTTCATTACTATGTTTTAAGGGATATTTTGAAGTACTACGAGAAAATTTTAAAAATGTATTAAGTCACACTAGGGTATAAAATAGATAGTTGAGATTGTTGTTATAATATATTAGTGGTTGGGTATACATTATTATTATTATTACAATTAATTATCTTGTAATCATCGAGATAAATAAACAAATATCTATTTCGATACTGGAATCCGGAAGAAATGTCTGGGGACAAAAAGTCTCCAGACTGGTAGTCCACGACTAGTCGTAGTTGTGATAACCGAATAATAAAAACCACGAAAACTCGTTACAAATTTATTTTACATTTAATCGCAAAATGCAAATAAACGGCAAAGTTTATCGATAAATTATAGATTTATACATATATATATATAACAAAAATAACACAAACCAAGGTATACTAAGTAAGTTAGTGATATAATAGTTTATGGATTAAAATTATTAGAAAATATTTCTGCCGATAGTATTTCGATCGAAAATACAACTATTTATCTACCTGTACATTTCTTATCATTGTTTTTAATTAGAAAACGGACGTTTGTACGTCGATAACTCGAACAAAAAATAATAGAACAACATTTTGAATATTTTCTATGAAAAAATATATATTATTTAANCATCCTCTAACACTTATTGGATTTATTATTAAAACTAAACCAATATATTTTCCATTTAACTTCATTGATTAAAAATTCAAAAGACAGATATATATATTACTGGGGGGCGTCTGATCAACTTTTTTTTTTATTTTATATGTTCTGAATTTCTATCCTTTTTATTTATTTATTATCACGCGCATTGTTTTTTGGAAGATCTGGCCTTATCTCTTTATAAAAGTCGGCACCCGGCTCAAATATTTCTCGACTGAAATACTGTTCGGCTGATTAATTTTCGGTTGTTTTACGCGCTCCAAAGTCCCAATGAACAATATTCAAATCATTAATTATTACTCTATGACCTAAACATAGTTTATCGCCACTATTACACCGCATTGTTTCAGTGTTGTATCGCTCGGTCACCACCATCGCAGATTCTGATATCATTATTTACATAATAATATAATAACACTGTTATTACTTATTAGTGCGAAACCGTTTAATAATTGAATTATTTTTCCCGTTTTCGCATTGTACAAGATGAGAAATTAGATATTACTTATTATTATTACATAGTAACTACCTGCAGCGAAAATATTTTTTTGTGTATCGCGAATGTACCTACTGTGTGTAATGTGTGTGATTTATAAATATATATATATATATATATTTTTTTTTTTTTTATCTATTTATTTACCATATTTCTTACTATAATCAAAAAATGACATTACTTTGTTGTAACAATTTGAATTTAATCATCTATTACAATTGAGTGATCATTTTTTGATTTTTCTTGAAGTTTTCATATCAAAATGTCTTTTTTATCCACTATGATAAAACAAACAATTTTACGTTAAAGTTATCTCTAGAGAAATGGTTACTGTAAATATGAACACATTTTTATTCACAGTACTAAGCTAAGCTAGGTATTTTGTTTAATTTGTAAATCTGCTGTTAATATGTGTGATGAGAAGGCCTGATTTTTAGTGGACATACTGTTTTAAGTTTAGTGGGGACAGTTATATCTATTGATTTTCATTAAACGTCTCGTTTTTGTCATAATTTTAATGTAATTGGACTGAGAATAATAGTTCCATTAGAAATACAACAAGAAGTATTAAACAAAATCTATGAAGATCATCAGGGGATAAAAAAATGTACGACTAAAGCAAGTCAATTAGTATGGTGGCCTAAAATATCTTAACATATCAAAAAAACTATAAGGATGTGCCACAAGTGTATAGGTGAGCTACAAAATAGAAATAAACCATTGATTATATTACAACTTAAAAACCAGCATTTTTATCAACCACGAGTTACTAATTTAATTTCCATAATTTTCAGTAAAGCTCTAAACAATTTTTTAAATAAAGGTAATTAATTCAATACACACCAAACATTAAATTTTCAATAAAATAAAAAACAATCAATATACTGTAAATTTGTTATAAATTATATACAATTTAAAAATCAAAATCAAACAAGACATAACTTAATCAACCGCACCAATAAAAACTACAAAATAAGCCTGATAAAATATTAAAATAAAATTGTATAGTTAAACGAAAAAATACAATTATTAACAATATAGTGAATAAATTAAAATCAAATAATTTAGAAATATTTCCAATAGATAAATCTAATGCTATTGTTATCATTTATAATAATACAATTCTTAAAAAAAACTTTAGATTTTTATAAAAAATATTAATATTCAAAACTTAACAGATGACCCAACTATAACTTTCACTAAACAAGTTAATAAACTAATAACAAATTCGAATAAAATCATACCCACAGTTTAAAAGAAATTATTATAAAAATCTAATTACAAAATAGAGGTTCCCACACTTACATCTATTCATAATATTAAATAAACAAGATAATCCAATTTGTCTATTAATTAACTTTAAAACTACTCCAGTTTATTATCTTACTAAATATTTAGACCCTCTCATAAAAGAAAAATTAAACATTGAATACTGATAATTCTAAAAAAAAAAATACTTATAATTTTATTGATATAATTAATAAAATTAATATTGAGCCATGATAAAAAATAATTTCTCTTGATCTCAAAAATGCATATCCATCCATTCCTAAACTCGAAATAGTATATTTTTAAAAAAATAATGATAGTAATAGATAGTAATACATTTAATACAAACAAAATATAAGAAATTATATTTGTAAAAAGATAAGTTAGTTATGTGTGGTCCTTTAAGTACTCTTTTATCTGAAATTTACACTCAAAATTATGAAACCAATAATATTAACAACAAAATACATAGTCCATTTATAAAAGCATATTATAGATATGTTGATGACACATTCATTTTATTTAGAGGTTCGAATAGACAAGAAGAAAACTTAGTTAACTACTTAAACAAAATAAATAAAAACATTAAATTTACACTCGAAATACAAATAAATAATAAATTAAATTTCTTAGATTTTACATTTTCCATAATAAACAATATATTGATTTTAAATAATCTCTCATATTAAAATAAATTATTTCTACATAAAATTACCAATTTGTATAAATTTTTCTCTATATATTCCTTCATTTATTTTTTCATATTCAGTCCCGTTTTACTTTTTGACTGTGGTTTTATATGGCAATGCATTTTTAATTTAAAATTAGTTGTACAATATACATTTTATAATACTCCAGGCAATGCATTTATTCTTTAGATTTCGAGGGAGGGAGCTATTAGTTTTACTTATTTTTCTAGTATGTGAACACATTTTGTCTTAGTAAATTTTTTACGATTTTTATGTGTAGCAACTTTTCTGAAATTTCAAGTTGTCTAGATTGTACTTTGAAAAAGTTATTTTTTGATTTTTTAAATAAAAGCACTTAAGTAAGAAAATGTAGGAAAACATAAAATTTCATTATTTTATAAAAACACAGACGATTTTCTACCAGAAAAAATTATTTAATTAAAAAACACATCAATATTGTCATTTTAAATATTTTTGAATTCTTTATGAGATATTCCAGTAGAAAAATTAGTTTTATCCAAAGTATATCATTGAGTTTTAATTTTTTTAAACAATAGAATATCTGGTTCAGATTAGGGTTACTTTTCAAATTGTAAAAATAGACAAATAATTGGGAAAGTTCAATTTTAAAAGTGGTGAGGAAATAATAAAGAAACTATAAGTAGTAAATGATGCAGCTGAAAAACAGATGCAATTTCTATTACAAATACATATATCCAAATTAATTAATTTTATTAAATTACATTAAACTTATATTATTTATATGCATCAGACAATATATCTAATATCAACATTAAACATACTTAAAAAACCATTTTAATAAATTTAATTAAGTTTTAAATATTTTTAACAATATTTTTTTTCCTATTATAAATTCCTAAATAAATAATTACACGATTTATCCCTTTTTTTATTTTACAAATTTGAAAAATGATTTTTATTAATTTTACAGAAAAGGATTAATATTTTGAACAAATATTATAAGTATTTATTTTAAGAAAAGCCACTATAATTCTGTGTATTTTTCTTGATTTCAAAAGAAAGAGTTAAAATAATGAAAAAAATTATTTAAATACTTATTTTTAAATAATTGCTAGGTGTAGACCTAAAATAATAATTTTAATTTAATAATTACAATTTTACCTTTTTTCTTAGAACTTTGAGCTTTGGTCAGTATGTGTTAAATATGGTAAAACTTAAAATTTAGGAGACTTATTTTTAAGTGTATTGAAACAAATTTCCAGTTGGCACTACTTACATTTGTTAACTTAGAAAATAACTGGCACCCTAAAATATATATATATATACATGTATATTATATCTACACACTAATTTAAATCTATAGTATGAAAAATTAAGATTTAAGTATACTTTACCTGACACCCTTTGTTTTTCAATTTTTTTTTTTTGAAACCGAGTGTTTTTTGATATTGACTTCAGAAATTGTAGGCACTGTGGTATCCAATTCGTTAACGATCAATGCTCAGTAAATGTTTGTACTTTTTTTTCTAAAAAAATTCCATCTAATTTCTACATATGATTTAAACATATTTATTTTGCCCCAGGCTCACCCTAATTAATTTTTTTCACTGTACATTAAACATGCTTTGCATAACAAATCGAGGGTTATTTTTGATTAAAACAGTGGAAGTGACCTTGCTAGGTCTCTATATGCTCCCAAAATGCTTTTTCACTGTAAAATATGTAAAAATTTAACTGCGCATTGGAGGTAAAGAATTTGATACAGATCATATGATTATGCACCATAATCAATTCTAAATGAATGATGGTAAAATAAATAGGTATTTAAGCTAAAATCATATAAATAACAAACTTCAAACTTCCATACATTTCCAAAAACAGTTCCAAAATCATTATCTAAAAACACATGTTTGCAAAAAACATTTAAAAATAAAGAGCGCTCAGTAAAATTAATTTGTTCCAAAATTAATAAATGTGCTTAAATTTAATATAATATTACATACAACAAATTATAATATTATTATAACATACAATAATAATGGTAATGATAATAAAAAAATGGACAAACAGAACTCTATTTAACTACTCCAAAGGTTTTTTTTGCAATATACTGATATTGGATGTTGGTAAAATATTCATCATATCATGGTACAATAAACCTAAAACACAAAATAACATTCTATTAATTATAATTATAGCTTTTAACAAAAATGTGTTTTAAAACCAAAATGATTGTACAAAAATAAAATTAAAAAAATAACTGAAACTGGAAATGGATGTGTCACTAATGTATATGGAAAGTTGAGAAAAGTAAAAATGTAAAATAAATACAATAATTTAATTTATATCTGTACACAATGACAAATGTTTGTAAACAAAATATAATTCCGAGTATTTCTCAGTTATATATATTTTAAAACGCTGTAATTTGTATGATTTTCATCAAAATTGCATCATTCATAAACCACTTATTAAAAAAAAAAATTACTATAACCTCAACTTTTTTTTTTGGTTATCAATTAGAACTTATAATGAATAAAATAATAAAATAAGAATAAAACTATTAAAATTCTTAATTTTGATAAATAAATATATAAATACAAAATGTAAATATAAAAATAAAAAAAAAAAAGGTAATGAGGATAGGTGCAGTCACTGGTGAGAAGTTGGGAAGATAGGATATAGATGGGAATTTAATGTATATCTGTAAGCAACGATAGACCATTGCTTATGATTCTGAGTAGAGTACTGATGATTTGTCAACAATGTATACATCATTTTATAGTAAAATAATTAAAAAGGCTTTATATATTATATTTCATAAAATTAGTTTAATGATGCACTGATTTTCCCAGTTTTTCAATGTTTTTACGGTTTTCATATGTTTTATCCCAGTTTTCACATTTGCTGGGAAAATTATTGAGAAAATTGCCTCTTTAAAGTACCTCCCTAGTGAAATTTCCTTTTAGAAACATTGCTATCATTAAAAGTTGGATCAAAATTGCTGGTTTAAAAGTTTCCACAGAAAAAAAGAAGGCCATGATATATTTTAACTAATACCTACATTACTCTTATTTTTTTGAGTTTTCAAATTTGATGAGAAAACTCTGGAAAAAATTGAAAAACGACCTTCCTAAGGTACCTTCCCACACCGATTTCCTTTCATAAAAGGTGCTACACATAGAAATCCCAGCAAGTCTTGTGGTAAAAAACTTGCACACAGATAAAAAAATAAATAAATAACCCTGAAGTATAATGATAAATGTATTATACAACCGGTTTCAAATTAAAAATTCATCATCAAGTATATCACAGTCAAAATGTAAAAACTAAATATGAAAAAATAAATGAAGGAATAATAAGGAAAAAATTAAACACAAATTGATCATTATATGTAGAAATAATTTATTTTAATAAGAGAGATTATTTTAAATAAGTTATTTTTAGTCAAAAATATGTTTTGGAATATAAATCATTTGGTTATTATTTATTATCTAAAATATATTAATATAAGATGTTATTTTTAAAATCTGTTTGTACATTTAAAATATTAAAATTATTTTTCTTTATTTTATTGTATAAATTTAATATTTAAAAACTGAATTAATGTAAATGTTATTTTGGATACTTAATATCTATAAGTTTATATTAATATCAAAGCTTATACTATGGTTATTTTCTAAACCATATTTAGCGAAATTTGAATTAAGCGCAGGCATTTTTAATTTTTATCAGAAATGTGTTCTTTAAATCTTATTTTAAAATTTCTATTTGTCTTACCTATAAAAAAATTTATTACAGATTTGTTGTGAAGGTTCTAATGCTATTATTTATATATTTGATAAAATTATTATTAGTCTTAAAAGCAATTTTTACATTATTTGTTGTTTTCATAATATTCAGAATTTTGGCAAATTTGTTAGACATATTATTTTGATATTTCAAACTATAATAGTTAACAACATTATTTGGTGAGTTGTGTTTTAATTTTTCTTTAATACATTTATAAAATCAAGTAGTAGTTCTTTATTTGGTCAATTTCTTCTAACTGATAGGGGAGCTCATTGTATATTTTATCTGCATAAAGATTGTATTTTTTAAAATCATTAAAGCTTAAAGTAAATTTAAATAAAAATAAATTGGTTGGTGAACCTGCAGGCTAAGCTAAAATAACAAAATTGGCCTAAACATATCATCACATATCTGGTCTACTGTACAATAATTATTATTCTCTGATCAACTAAATGCAATTTAACAATGTTCATGGAGGGGAGGTTATACATTTGTCAATATTTTAATTTGTTCTTTATATCCATAGTAACAACTGTAAAATAACATAACTGAATATTTTTAGTTCATCTTTNTTAATTATAGCTGTTTTAAATGCCCCATAATTAAAATAATTATCACTAGGGACCAAATTTATATACACTTGAAATCCATAAAAAAGCGCTTAAATTGTCAAAAAGCAAAAGTGGTAAAGGGATTTTGAAGTCACCGCTCAAAGAGTTCTAATCCTATTAAATACAATTGTCTAACCTTCACAAATAATGAACACCAAGCATTTTTTATTTTATAACACTTACAAATATATTTGAAGAAAATTACCTAAAACTATTCGGTTTTTAATGTTCAAAAATTATTTTTAATACGTTAGAAACAATAAGTGGGAAAGTTTTAAACCCCTTTATATTTATTGTTCTTATTAATATCTTTTTAAGCAATTTTTAAAGGGTTTTATAATAATTTAAAGGGCTTTTTTATGAATTTAAAGTACATATAAATCCGATTTCTAATCATCACTATAAAAAATATTGATATCTTCTCAAAATGTTTACCAGTTTAATTTTAAATACTACAAGAAAAATTTTTTCTTGTTTTGTAGAAAAACAAGTGAATATATTATTTAAATAAAAAAACAAAATATAGATTTTGACTTGTTTGACCCACCCCAAATAAGGTTATATCATGTAAGTATATAAATAATTTAGATCTATCAAATATGTGTAAATGAACAATTTTAAATTGGTAATACTAAAATATACATACCCACTATCCATAACATGTATATTGAATGGAATATGTATGGACAATATGATCCCTTGGGCAATTGATTTCCATAATACACATAATATTTTGGGAAGTCGTCAATTTCCTTCTGAGAAGTTTCAATGCGCTAAAGAAAAATGATATTATCAATCAATAATCAATAGATCTTTACAGTGGAATTTTATTATTGTAAATTATTAAACTACTAAATTATTAATTTTTAACTTTAACATTTTGACATTTGTATATTTTTGAAATGTTTATATACTCTAAGTATTGTATGATAATGATACGAAATCTATTAATTTAAGGAGTACTGGGCAATATATGAATAAAGTAGATTTCTTTTAAATATTCAAGTATTAACTTACAATACTAATATGGGATTAATCCTGAAAATAATTTGTCAGCAAACTCTCTACTACCGAAATATAGCAAAGGTGGGCTGATATGTTAAAAAAAATTGTATGTATAGAGGATATTAATGGGAAAAAGAACTAGAACAAATGCCTCAATGATGAGATATCTGAACAGCTTTAAAAAGAAAATAGGTTTTTGAGATATCTATAACTCAAAAAACAATTTAATTTCTTTAAAAAGAAATTTCTTTAGAGTAATTTCTTTTGATTTAAAAAAATATAAAATGTGAGTCACTTCAATCAGGGATTCACACATATAGTCTGTACCAAATAAGAGCGCACCGTGTTGGCGCATCCAAATGAATTGCAAAGTGACATACGGACCCCCCTGGCTGGGTCTATTCGCTCTGTCATTGGTCGCCGGTAGTCGCCGGTACATCGATGATGTCCGGTGCCAAGTTGTTTTGATATAAAAATATGAGCTTCTCGAACTGTTAATTTCGTATTTTTCTTTAATTTCACCTTGTAAGAATTAACGATCATCATGCGTTGAGCTGATGAGACAGGCTGGAATAAAAATACGAACAAAACTATGTTAAATAATGTATAGTATATAGATAAAACTATAATAGGTATATAATAGGTACACATTTTTTTTACTAACCTTTCCCATAGGATTTTTCGTTGAAGGTGAAATATTTGCCATAGTGCCTATAGTGTCACGTGGAAATAAATCAAAAGTAAAATCGCAAAAGAAAAACTCAAAATATACACCAATGCGCACAAAAAATAAAACGACTAACCATGTACTACGTTAAAAACAATGTGACAATACAACATACTCTGTATAAGAAAGGTGACCAGTCGCGGCATTTCCAACTGTAGTGGTGTTAGATGCGAGTTTCGACCAGTTTTTGTGCACCTTATTTGGTACAGAGTATACAGTGGTGGATACTTGGAAAAGGTCACCTGAAACCAGTTATTTTTTTTTAAAAATATTATATGGTCTCTATTTTAACATGTATCACTCTACAAAGTTAAACACATTAGAACCAAACTATAAATAATTAAAAATTTAACTTAGTAAATAGTTATAAATACTATAATTGGTTTAGATTACAAAGTTCTCCCACTAACCTTTTTAATCAAGTTATGCATCTTCTCATTTGCATATACTATGTCACCGTTTATTTCTCCCATCATGATCTGGTTGAAAACATTCAGTAGTTTTATCCCAAAATTGAATAATTTGTTCCTACATCAATTATTATATAAAATTAAATTTAAAAACAAATTGTAATAAAGTAATTTAATAATTACCCAGGGTCACCGGATTTTATGCAACTCTGAGACCTTATGAAATCCCTTATAATAGAAGAAACATTTAATTGTACATCAGGCTTTTTTAAAACCTAAAAATATTAAAATAAACATACCTTATTTAACATCCAGGTAAATAAATTTTAATTATTGTTTATACATACATGCTTATTGTTTTGAACCATAAATTTGTCAAAATCAATTAATAAATTTAACACCTTTGGAAAATCATACTGGAAAATTAAAATTTAACACACATAAATCTTAGTTTTATATTAATTCCTAGCAAACTGTTATTATATAAGTAAATTGAATTACATTTTCATTCTCGAAGGCCACAAATTCATCAATTGTTTTGGAATTTAAATCAATTTCTGTTTGGATTTCTTGAATTTTACTTTTGATTAAACCTCATAACTATTGAACAATAATTTACAAAATTATTAAAATAAATACATATTTAAAAGTTAAAAACAACCATAAAATGGATTTCATTATAATATTTAATGACATGACCAGAAGGCAAGTTATAAACCCTTTACGATTGCAAATGGATTATTATTATTATGAATGGAACTTGATTAAAAATTTTGTTTTGATAAACTTGTTAAAAATTATGGCTCGGTTTACTGACATACACTTAGAAAACTCACTGAGGATTACATCATCTCAGGATCAACCAAATATAGAAAAATTAGTGAAAAATAATGTCATCACAATAAATATAAAATATATAATTTGTAGTTCAAAATTAAAATATGTTAATGTATATATGTTTTAACAATAATAATAGCTTGTAATTTAAAATAAATCATACAAATTATAATAATAAAACTGGATTTTTGTATAAAATATACATATTTACTATGAATGCCCCCTCCCTCAAAATTAGTAGAAAATAATATGTGGCCTCTGCATGAAAAGGTTGAAGTCATCTGGCCTAAATGGTCTATAAAAATATATTTATGTTTAAATATATATACATGTATATACATACCAAGCGTATAAAATGAGCCTTTTCTTGGAAAAATGAAACACTAATTTTGAATGGGAAAGTAAAAAAAATGTTGACCATTGCTTTCTACACATTTTGACCACTTTTCTGGCAAATTTTGGATTCCACACCAATAGAAATGTTCATCTTTTGAAGCAAACCAATCAGACACTCAATTTTTGACTCCTGCGTAGAAATCAAAGTGCTGCTCAGCCAATGCCTGTCCCTCCAATGAAAACAAATGATAGTCGGAAGGGGCCAAGTCTGGTGAATACGGCAGGTGAGGTAGCAGCTCCCAGCCAAGTGCTTTGATTGTTTCCTGAACCGGTTTTGCTTTGTGTGCAGGTGCATTGTCGTGTACTTTGCCGTGTCTTCTAGCCCATTCTAATCGTTTTTCGATCAATGCATAGTTCAAATTGATCATTTGTTGTCTGTAGCGATTAGCATTAACAATTTTACCAGGTATTAGAAGTTCATGATACACCGCACCTATTTGATCCCACCAAACACAGAGCATTGCCTTCTTGCCGAATCGATCTGGTTTCACAGTCGATGTTGATGGTCGTCCCGGATTAACCCATGGTTTTCTCCATTTAGGATTCTTAAAATAAATCCATTTTTCATCGCCAGTGACAATTCAATGCAAAACTGATTTTATTTCGCGTCTGAAGTAAAATTTCACAAGTGTTTTTTCGGTTTTCCATTTGTCTTCCATTCAATTCATATGGCACCCATTTTCTACACTTTTGGATCTTTCACATAGTTTTCAAACGGTCAGAAATTGTTTGTTATGCAATATTTAACGTTTCTGCCATTTGCTTTTGACTCAAAGTATCATCTTTAATTATTTAACATTATAAATACATTTTATTATATTATAAAACTAGGCATTGATTACTTTAATATTTAATACCTGTCCACAATGAAGATATTAGTTGTTTAGTTGTGTAGCTTTGTGTTTTGTTTTTTTCTTAATTTCTTTGAATTGTTTTTTTTTTCATCTATTGACAGTCTTGTGCGAGTTTTCGATTCAAAACTGAACAATAAATAAACAAAAATAATATTTTAATCAATATAGTATATTATTGTAAACAGGTGTAAATTTGTATAAATATACATCTCTACTAGTATTCGTAATCGTTCCATATGTTTTAAATTAATTTCTGTTATTTTTAATAATGGGTCGTCAGTCACCCATTCATCCCATTTTTCATGCTATCCTATGTAGTGAACCAGGTATTCCGCCATCATATATTTCACATTTGGAGTTAGTTGAGGACGCAGGCGGCGGTCTAGACATTTTGCTTTGTAAAGCAGTAATGTCCATGTATGAGACGAATAACATAGTAATTCTTCATCTGAAATATTACATAAGTCACTAGTCAAACGGAACTATAACACTGTAAATATATATATTTGATTTTTCAAAATGTTGAAATTTGTTTTTCTACCCCAAGAGCCAAACTTCAACCTAATTAATTATTGTATTTAAGTTGTATACCAACCTTTTTGGAAATCACACAAAGGAATATGGAAAGGAGATCCTCCTTCAATACTCCGGGACACTAATGTTTTTTTAAACCTTACCACTGTCCCAGAGCATACATTGTTCACTTCGATAACGGAGGGTCCAGAAATTATATTATATTTTTCCATATTAGAGTACGATGAAATACTCAAATCAAAAATAACTTAAAATGAAAGAAAATAAAACTGGAAGTAAATAAATACTCGACTTAAGAATGTCAAATTGTACAGAGATTATGGAAATTGGAAGTTATGCAACTTGAAACAATAAAAAAATAAACGAATAATAAAAATAGTTATGGAATACAAGGCGGCCTTTAAAACCAAAAAGTAATAAATACAATTGAACAAAATTTAGTACTAACAAGCGTCGGTTTCCCAGAGTTGCCAAATTTTGCGATTTTTATATCTTATTTTTTCTTAAATAATTTTTCATTTGTTTTGGTTGACGGTAATGAGACATAGATTACAGTTTCAAAGGGAGGAATACAATTTCTCATATTATCAGTAGTTAGCTATTTAGTTTATTTTCTATGCATTACTAATATTGGTCATTAAAAATCGCATTTTATAATAATAACAGTAAACAAAAATTCTTGACTGTGATAAAATTGATAACGTCTTTGGATTTCATACAAAACACTATAAACACTAACACTATAGACTATCGATCAAGTTCATCGCGTAACAACCGTGATCATTAAGGCGTTAGAAGAGAAAAATTATTGCTGTGGAGTATTCCTGGATGTAGCCCAAGTTTTCCTCAAAGGCCTATTATTAAAACTACGTGAGCAGCTTCCGCACCCATGGTGCGCCCTTCTCAAATCATATTTGGCTTTACCTCAAGGTAGCGTTCTCGGACCTATTTTGTACCTACTCTATACAGCTGATATTCCAACTAACGACAATACAATGATAACTATGTTCGCCGACGACACGACAATACTATCAACAAGGAAGGACCAAAAAGCTGCGACTGAGATCCTACAAACGACAATCAACACCGTTTACAATTGAACGAAACAATGGAGATAAGTCGGTGCAGTTAACTACACCTTACGTAAAACCACACACATCCCAGTCACGCTAAATCAGCAGATAATTCCGCAAAATGATTCAGCTAAATATCTGGTAATATACCTTGACTCATGACTTAACTGGAAACATCATATACACCAGAAAAATGTGCAAATCAAACAAAAAGTGCACAAACTGTACTGGCTAGTTGTACGAAACTCCGAGCTAGACTTAACCAGCAAACGTCTCTTGTATGTATCGATTGTTAAACCGATTTGGATTTATGGTATTCAACTGTAGGATTGTGCCAGTTAGTCCAATATCAAAAAATAATACAACGATGACAGAGCATCGCTCTTCATACTATTGTTGCAGCATATTGGTATGATAAGAACGATATCCGAAAATCTCATCCGTGCAGAATGACATTACCCGGTTTGCTCGCAAACATGCAAGAAGACTGAAGCTTCACATATCTATGGCTGCCATACAACTCCTCGACGACTCACAGGACATCAAATGTCTCAAACAACTGAAGCCATTTGACTTAATCTAATTATTAGATAAAGAATGAAGCTGCTTCACTGGAAGTAAAACCCCACACAAGTTTTGTGTATATATATATTGCATCGTATGTATAAATACTTCTATTAATTTATATTTATACAGATTCTTTTATCATTTAAATAAAAAAAAATTTGATGTTAATAGTTAATAATTAGCAGATAATGCAAGTCAAATAAATATACTCAGATCAAATATACAACCAAAATTATGTATTTCTAATCGGCATTTATAAAATTATTTACAAGATTATACATTGATGTTGAAATGCATGCATGTTTTTTTTTCATTTTACCTATTGTTTATAGTAGAAAATACAATTGTGTGGATTAAGATATGTATTTTACAGTAATATTCACCCAAGAAAAAAAAAATAATCATCTCTTGTCAGGAATATTTTTACCACTGGTATCATAACCACTAATGTTATAAAAAAGAGTAAATATAGTGATATTAAGCTTTTTAAAAGTGATTAGATGTAATTTGAATTTTAAGTAGGTACTTTATTGATTCTAATTTAAAAATATGCTCATAGATTTTAGAAATTTGGTTAGTAAAAAAAAAAAATTATATTGTCATTAAATCCATTATGGGTCAACAACACTTAAATGTAAAGGATGGAAACTGTGTCACAAGAAAAGTTGGGAAGACATATTATTAAGACACATATTTGTTTAAACAATTTTCTGGTCAAGCTATTAATAAAAATAATCGGGAACTAATTTTATTTTATATTTGTAGGAAATATCTGATACGTATTATCAGTGTACTGCTTAATTCGATACTTTTTGTTATGTTGATATTTTTTTTTTAAAAGAAATTGTAGGTTAAGTAGTAAGTAAATAAAGACATCCTACAATAATGGGGACGAATGCAGCTGAATGGAGTTCATTTGATAGTAATCCTTTATCATCAATATATGTGCCATATTATAGTAAAATAATTAAAGAAGCTCTATATATTTTCTTTAATAATATTTGTTTAATGCTTTACCAATTTTCTCAGTTTATCCATTTTTCACATTTGCTGAGAAAACTTCGAAGAAAATGGAAAAACTTAAAGTACCTCCCCAGTACTAACAATACCAATACTCATTTTCATATAAAAACTTCAAATGGCATATGGAAATAATTTAAAATGAAAATACATTTGTGCTTAACAACATTATTTCTTTAAATTAATATAATCTTTAATCTATATAATTATAAATAATACATAAATTAATAAAAGACTAGGTAAATTATATGTAAATATCTTTTGGATCATTATAATTGAGTATTAGAGACTACAACTTGAATAATTGTACAGTGCCTGGAACCAAAT